GAACAGAAGCAAGAGAAAGAGAAACAAATGGGGAGAGAGAAAATGAGGGGGAAAAACTAGGAGGAGAGTAAGAGAGAAATAGGGAAAGAGAAAGAGCGAGAGAGGGAGAAGAGAAAGAAAGGAGAGCGAGAAAGAGAGAAACACGAGACAGAGAGAGAAATGAGAGAGAGCGTGAGAGAGAAGAGAGAAAATGAGAGAGAAGGAAAGGAGAGAGAAATGGGGAGAGAGGGAGAAAGAAAAAAGAGCGAGAGGAAGAAAGAAAGAAATGATAGAGGGTGAGACTGAAGAGAGAGATAGATGGAAAAGATCAAAGAGAAAGAGAAAAGGAAAAAGAATAAAAAACAAAAAATTGAGAGAAATGAGATAAAGAGGAGAGGAAGAGAGAAATAAGAGGGTGAGAGAAAGAGAGAAGGAGATAAGGAAAAGAGAAGAGAGAGAACAAGCAGGGGGAATAGAGAGAAATGAAAAAGAGAGAGAAAGAGAGAAATCAGAGAGAGAAAAATAGGGAAAGGAAAAGAGAGAGAGAAAAAGGAGAGAGAGAGAGTGAGAAATCAGAGAGAGATTGAGAAATGGAGAGAGAAATGAGAGAAAAAAACGAAAAGGGAAAGTGAGAGAGCAAAAGAGAGACAGAAAATGAGAAAAAGACAGAGAGCAAGAGAGAGAGACAGAGAGGGAAAAAGAAAGGAAGAGATAAAATAGAAAAAGAGAGAAAAACAGAAAGAGGGATAGAGAGACAGACACACAGAGAAACAGAGAGAAAGAGAGAAACAGAGAGAGAGACAGAGACAGACAGAGAGAGAGAAAAAACGAGAGAGAAACAGAGAGAGAGAGAGAGAGACAGAGACAGAGACAGAGACAGAGACAGAGCCAGAGAGAGAGAGAGAGAGAGAGAGAGAGAGAGAGCGCGAGAGAGAGAGAGAGCGAGAGAGAGAGAGAGACAGAGACAGAGCCAGAGAGAGAGAGAGAGAGCGAGAGAGAGAGACAGAGACAGAGCCAGAGAGTGAGAGCAAGAGAGACAAAGAGAGAGAGCGAGAGAGAGAGAGAGAGAGAGAGAGAGAGAGGGAGAAAAAAGAGAGAGAGAGCGAGAGAGAGACAGAGAGAGAGAGAGAGAGAGAGACTGGTTCCGAGACTGATTCTGTCCAACTGGCCTGAGCTCCACACTGAAAGCAGAAGCATATGTCCTCCGCGGTGCGTGTGAGCGGAGCGGCCAGTAATTCCGAGCCCAGAGAAAAATGCCGTAATGAAACCTGCCTTTACGGTCACCTGTGCAGAAAGGCCCGCGGCGCTCGCTTTGATCCGCCAGGCCCTGTCCACAAATAAAAACTCTCACTCACTCACTCACTCACTCACTCTTTCCACTGGCCTTTGTTTTATGCTGCGCCGTGTTGGACCTCGCCAGCGAAAACGCGTCCAAGCCTCCAATATAAGAAATACTTTCTCGCATAATAAATGCCATCTGGGACAGGTTCTCTCAAACAAAAGGCTTTATGCAGGCATCATGTCAGCGAGTTTAGCGCTAAAACCCCCTCACCACCTACTGCAACCCAGAATTCATAACTTCAATATTACAGTCACATAACCCAAAAGGCCATGATTTCCTGCTAGACTCTTCCTCGCACAACCAGAAAATAGGAATATTATTGTTTTCTCGAACACTCTGCACTCTTACAGAGTCAAGTTCACCCATTTTCCCTCCTTACCTCAGATAAAACACATGAACTTCTTTAGTTTTAGCGCTGGAGCTACAAGGCTAATGAAGCTAACTAGTAATGAAGGGGTGTGTCCGCTAATTAGCATCTGCAAAATCATCACGCTTTTCTTAAACCACGTGGAGATGTTCAGGAATCTCTAATAGACCTGATTAGGTGGTTTCTGACACTGTATGACACACTATTATCCATAAACACGGACTAAAGTACAGATAAAATGAAGACAAGCTGGCTAATGTTTTTAGCTTTCAGCTAATGTACTTTAGTTCATGTTTGTAGCTAACAGTGTGTCATAATGAAGTCCATTAGAGTTGACCGAACGACTCCACACGGTTTGAGACGATGATTTCCCAGATAGCAGACAGTTTGGGCCAATTCTGGCTTTCCTATTTGAGTGTTGGTTGACTGCCAGGTAGATGTTAGGCATGCGGGCCAGAACAGGGCCAGATCCTAGATAGCTTCATACCGTTTTGCCTTGTGTCTAGGTTTGTGGGACAATTCTGGTGTGAATGTTGGGGACCAACAGTGTAGTTGGGCCAGTCTGTCGCCAGATTTCCTTTAGTTCTACACACTTTACAGCGTGCGGGCCAGATTTGGGCCAAGGGCCCAGCTGTATACCGGGCCAGGACAAACCAAGGATGTGTTAAAAATGTCTCTGGTGTTGCCTTTATTATATGCAACACCAGTGACTCCTATGGAGAGATAGACAAGTGGAGATTTCAGTGGAATGACCCTGTTACCTTTATTTATTTATTTATTAGTTTGTTTATTTATTTTAACCATGGCCCCTCAGGGCCCCCTGTAAAAATGTGCTGCTTCCATGTTACACTCAAGTCTTTGGTTCTCCAGCTCCCTTCCTTGGCTGATAAACTACATTTGGAGTCAAACTATTGCTTTAATCATGTCTTACAGTCAACGCTGCACTGCCAGCATGACCCCTGAGACGCTGTAGCTATGCTAAAACATTGCTCAATTTATTTTGGCGCAGTGAAAGAATGCTAGCGCTTGTGAAACCAAAGGGCCAAAAGCTGCATGAGAAATGGAGTGAGTAATGGCTGTTTGAGAAATAAAGTGTCTCAAAGCCACAAGGTCAACCCAGGAGTTGCAAAACGGCGCTCTGTGGACACATTCCTGTCCGCAGTGCTAACATTGCTAACGTTGCTAGAGTTCGCGCCAGACTTTAAGCCGAGGCCGAGCGCAGCGCTGCTAATAAAAGCCATGTTTCTCTAAACCCTCCCCGAAAACAAAGCCCTCCCCGACGAGGCTGCTGTGAAGGTGTCCGCAGAGGTACAACGGCCTCATCAAGGAGGGCTTTGTTTCCAGGCTTTAAATAAAATCACTTTACTGTCATCCCCGCCAATTAGCGGCGCAGACGCCGAGCGTTTCTCCTCTGAACAGACACTGCATGTGCATCGCATATTTCCAGGGAGCAATTATTGCGCTACAGATGTGGTCTGTTTATGTGTACCATCTTGTTTACACCAAAAGCCTGGTTGATACGCTCCTCTAATAAAACACTTTGACTCCATGGGAAAACGTGGCACGCTGAAGCTTTTTGGCTCCGAGAGGAGTTCGAGAGGAAACTTCACGCGCCAGCTTTTAGCGTTTTAGCATTCGGCTTACCGAGATGAGAAAACCGATAGTTCTTCATAAATGCGTTACATGTGCATTACTGGGGATGATCTCAATAGAAATGCTTTTAAAGGAGAATTTCACCCTTTTCTGAAACATCCCTCCATAATTAAGTGGATAAGATGTAAACAGAGCGGTTCAGAGTGGTTTGGTGTGAAACACTCCGTTCTAGAGAAACTTACCGAGTCAGAACTGTTCACAGTGGTGGTGATAGGAACCAGACGTCCACCTCTAAAAGCTCCCTCACAGAAAGTTACTACTGAGATGTTGTTTTATGATAGGTTTTGGATTTTTTTGTCCTTATATGTATTTTTAATGGTTCATGGTGGAGGGACACATGCAGGATGTTGCGAGGCAAAATAGTCCTCAAAGAAAAATCTGAAAAAAGTCGTCACCATTTTACCCTCATCAACAGAAAAACAGTCTCTCAGACACTACACACTGAAGGCCTGATTGAGTGAAGTGTGTAAGCTTAAAAGGAAATCCCATCAATTTTTCAAAATTTCAGAGTGGTTTGGTGTGAAATGGTTTAGATGTCTTTACAGTGGTGGTGATAGGAACCAGGGGTCGCCATGACTACAACACAAATATAGACATTTTATTTACTATCCAGAACCACCAGTGAACCTACACGAGTCTTCTGAGTTTATATGGAATGTTGATGATGGAAAATAGTGGAAAATCTGAAATAATACGTTTTCTTTGTCTCACAACCTCCTGCACGTATCCCTCCACCATAAATCAATTAAAGAAAAATTGATATTCTTACCAAAAACTATTGTCTCAGACATCAGGCAGTGAATTCATAACCATTTACTGTAGGAACTTTCTGTGAGGGAGCTTTTAGAGGTGGACGTCTGGTTCCTATCACCACCACTGTGAACAGTTCTGACTCGGTAAGTTTCTCTACAACAGAGCGTTTCACACCAAACCACTCTGATTACATCTGAACCATCCAGTTGTGCAGAAATTTGAATTAAATGGTGGGCATTCCCTTTTAAATGATCACTACCAACTGCTGTGTCTGATCCACTCGCACCAGCGCAACACACACTAACACACCACCACCACGTCAGTGTTACTGCAGTGCTGAGAATGATCCCACCACCCTAATAGTACCTGCTCTGTGAGGGTCCATGGGGGTCCTGACCACTGAAGAACAGGGTAAAAGGAGGCTAACAAAGTATCAGAGAAACAGATGGACTACAGTCTGTAACTGTAGAACTACAAAGTGCACTATATATAGTAAGTGGAGCTGATAAAATGGACAATGAGCGTAGAAACAAGGAGGTGGTCAGAATGTTATGCCTGATTGGTGTATGATATTAGCAGGTCACATTTTCAAAAGATAGGAATTCAACACATACAATCCATTCTTTGTTCATATTTATTACTTTTTTTGCAAAGTAAACATTTATTTTTTTTTATAGTGCATTAGTACAACTTACAGATTTAGATTGGCACAGATCAGGCTGTTCCACCTGCATTATATCCTCTTAAACTCTTTTAAAGTAGAAAACAAACTTCCCCCCGAACCCTGGAATGAAGTTCATAATGGCTAAACAATTCCCTTGGCTTTTCGTTAATGTGCTTCAGTGCCACAGTGACCGTTTTTGGCGTCCATTCTTGATCCGAAAAGTGGAATGGTTTGAGAAAACAAAACATAAAAGAGTGGAATGATTAAAGAAAAAAAAAGGTTGGTAAGTAATGATTACAATGACTGAAGGCCATTAACACATAATATAAACAGCAAAAAGGCAACTAGTGCAACCTGACTGTTAGTTGCTCTTGAGTAATTGGACATCAACAGAAAAACAAACAAAAAAAAAAACAAAAAAATAAAATATTGCACCATCAATCCCTTAGAATGACATTCATTGAAGAGGAGGTTAAGGGTTTAAGGATTAAGACTAAGGCTTAAGTCCTGTGTGACGAGTATTATGGAAGCTTTATCTGCATAGAAAACAAAAAAATGCTATACATTATTGAAGGAACTCGTACTGAAGGCTGTAAAGTTCCGAAATCTGCTCAATCTTCGCAGAAAAGAGAGAGATCTGCTCGTGATCATGAGCCTTTCGCATTCATCTGACCGAATACTGTCTGAGCAGCTTCAATCAGCAACACCGCCGCAAACAATCGCCGCCGAACCGTTTTTGTTGAAATGTAAACTCTCACACCCCTGAATCGGAGTACATGCCGTTGATGAGATAGTCCACCTGCGTGTAGTCTTTTCTCTTGTAGCTCTCGTAGGCGTGCCTGAGGAAGAGGATGACCGTGATGATGAAGAACAGGAGGCCGAACATCAGCACGGCCAGAAGAGAGCTGGTATTGACCACGTGAATGGTCAGTGGTTCTCCAGCTGCTTCCACCACTACAGCCTGGCCAGGCTGCTCCTTCTCTTTGCTCTCAGTGTTGGGTACCTGCCCTACGGAGGGGTTCTCGGGGGGCTTTGGCGTTGTAGGTGAGGGATTTTGCCCCCCTGCAGGGGTAACAGGGTGGGTAGAGGGTAAAAGTGGTGTCTGACTGGTGGTGGCCGCTGTAGAAGGTGCTGGTTTTGGCACGGTGGAGGACTTCGTTGTGGTTGGAGCTGGTATTGTGGTGGTAACTTTTACTGTTGTCGTTGATGGTGTGGTGGCAGTCGTCATGGTGACGGTGGTAGTCATGGTAGGCGTTGTTGGTGGTGGTGCCGTTGAGGCATTTGTGGTGGCTTGAGTGGTAGCTGGAGCTGTGGTTGGCAGTTCGGGGGTGGTACTGATCTCCGTGGCTGTTTTGTTCTTATTGGCCCCGGCAGCCGGGACACCGTCCGAGCTTGGCGTGCCTGGATGAACCTCGTCAACAACTGATGTGGTTTCTGGCTTGAGAGATGCTGTAGGAGCTAGAACCTTCTTTATTGGAGGAGCAACAGGGTTGATGTTGGGGTTAATTTGCCCGTTTGCTGAAGAGCTGTTGGTATCGCTGGAGTTTGGAGGGTTCAGGGACGTGGAGTTACCGCTGGATGAAGGCTGCTGAGGGTCAGGATCCTCTGGGTCAGGATCTCTAGCAGCATCTGGAGGTGGACCAGGGGCAGGAGGGACCGTCATAAGGGCATGTGGTGATGAAGCTGAGGTTGGTAGAGGTTTCGCTACACTGGCTTGACTGGGTCCACCATCCCGACCAATTTTTTCTGAGGGTCAAAGTGGATAAGAGAAAACAGTAATTAGGAATGCACAATGCATTCAGTACTGAAAACTGACCAATATATCAAACTGATTTGATTAATCTGTAATTTTTAAATATCATTTATTATACAATACAGCAGACTGTTTAGGTGACACTGGGATACTGCACTAAAATATCTGCATCTTATCGTCTTTACTGCATCTGTGACCCTACAGAAATAAATGCTAAATAATGCTAATTCAGGTTAAATACATATTAAAAATTACAATTTAATTTAAAAAGATTATACACTTTTTAAATTGCTTACAAAAGGACCCATGCGTGGGTTTATGTACCAAAAAAACAACCCTAATTTTTTACACATTTTCCAACCTGTTTTTTGTCACTGCCCCTTTAAGTCCCTTTATATGCAAATGAGCTCTGTCCTCCATTGAGCCTCATTAAAAAGCAGTCCAGGCTGAAACACTCCTTATAACTTCTTATAACGACGTGAGTGGGCGGGGTTAAACTCCTGTAGACCGAATTGGTGGATATATGTAAATGTGTTGGTTGTGACATCACAGAAACTGTTTTTGCAGCTTAGTTTCCATATATGGACGATATGCACTGGGGAGTGAAAGGTTTTTGAATCTTGAACAATGTTTGCAAACTATATTCAGTTTTTCACACTTACGGGCCCTTTAATGGTCGGCATCGGCAGATGTGTACATGAAAAAATATTGGATATCAGCATCTGCATACATTTCACATATCAGTGCATCCTAGAATTTATACAGCAGGACATACAGGACTGACATACAGCAGGGTCCAAAAATCTGAGACCACTTTGTTTTCATTTAATCCTGCAAATAAACAACAAAGATTTATAATTTAGAAAAATTTAAAAAGCAAAAAAAGTATGACAAGTGAAATGAAGAAATACTGAATATAAGTATAAATATAAAATATAATATAAATACAAAATTCTGTGCTATTTCTCCATCATTACTCACAATTAAGCAACATTGAGAATTAACTATGTACAGCTCTTTGTACAAAAAGGTCAGACTGTTTTTAGTCTGATCTCTTAGTGTTCAGACCACTCTCAGGGGGATCTGATCTACTGATCAGAGGCTGTTCTCACTGAGTGTGTTTACATGCACTCTATAATCCGATCGTAATCGGATTTCTGCAGTTATCCGATTATTCAAATGGTCATATAAACACCATACTCTGATCTAGAAATCCGATTAAGAAATCCGATAAAGAGGCTGGATTTTAGCTCAGTAATCAGATTTCTCAGTGCAGGTAAACTCTTACTCTGAAATCTACTGGATTTCTCAGTCCGCGCATGTGCGAAACAGACGGTGGTACCGGAAATAAGCGAGCGAGGTAGGAAGGAATTAAGGCAAAAGGGAAGGAAAGAAAGAAGGAAGGAAGGAAGGCGGGAGAGAGGAAAGGAAGGGAGGGAAGGAAAGAAGGTCGGTCTAGTGCACAAGCTCAAGGGTGAACCTAACTAACTCAGACTAAGGGTTTGTGCTGATAGGAAACCAGTCTTACTGGATCAGGCTGTGCTGTTCTAAAGCATCTCTAATACGAGGTTTTGCCCCGACAGCAGCGAAATGCAGTATCTCCATTTCCGTTTTTCAGTTTTTGACGTGATTTGAAAATGCCTGTTTGCCTTTACATTGTGTGTAAATTTCATGACAAACGGATCCAAATAAATGGCTCAGAATGACTTGGAAAAACGTCTGGTTCCATTGACTTACATTAAAAGTAGAGTATGTTTTTTCCTTCTCCTGTAAAGTTACCATTTTGGACATACAAGGTTTTCTTCACACAGCACATATTTTATTATGTGGAACACTAATAAACTGACAGGGCAGAAGTCGGTATATGGCACATTATCAAGCTCTCTGTTTTCACTGTATTGAAAAATGTACTGAACTGAGACTCCAGCCCAAACGGACTCCCACCCCAACCTCACTCACTCACAGACTAATGACTCAATCTGAGCGAGTGCTGCAGAGAGAGGAGGGTCAAACTCCTCCGAGTGGACCCAACAACCCGAGCAGCAAACATGAAGGTAAATGTTTAGCTGACCTGAGTTTCGTTCAATGTTTCATGCCAGTTTTACACAAACAGCAAGTCTGACGCAAAAGCGCTTTAAAATAAATTCAGCTAGAAGGAAAATTTTCAGGAATAAGACAGAACATAACTACATAACAAAAAACAAAACATTACGTACCCAACAAACGTTCACACGACGTGTCATTGGAGCAGTTTAGGTAAACACAGGTAGAGTTATCCTTCAGGAAGACTTTGTTACACTCCGTGATGAGATTCTGTGCACCTGTTGAGGAAAGAAATTAAAAAACAAAGACATAAATTCAGAAAAATAAGTCTTAAAGGGCCCGTATGCTACATTTTTCTTCTATTTAATTTGTCGACTCACATTTATATTTTTTCTGTAGTTTAATGTACAAAAATAGCCCTAATTTATTTCTACATGACCATTTTCCTGCCTCTCTTGAACCCTTAGAATTAAGAATTAAGGGTCTAAGAAGTCAAATCAATGTTTCTCGCGCTTTGTGATGATCCAGCACAAAAATCCAGTTCAAACACTTCCTGAATCTGTAGAGTCGCCCTTTCCATTCCATCTTATCTCGAGATCATACAAGACTCACATCCGGAGTTATGAGCCTATGAAGAGGGGCTGAGATACACCTCATCTGCCTCTCACCGTGTGGAACTGGTGGATTGGTGTGTCCGTCTACATTCTGTGTGAAACTGACCAATGGACACTCAGGAAATCACTAAGGACTGACCATCACGCCGGAAACCCTTCATTCTTCATTCAGTCCACATCGGAGACTCATGTGAAACGGCGTGCAGAGAGTTTACAGCTGCTGAAGCTGCTGCAGCGGTTTTGGAAAGTAGTGATGAAGATAACGGAGCATTTAGATATGAAACATATGAGGATCATGATATATGAAGAGCTTTTAGGGGAGAGTTTAAGAAGAGATGGACTAGAGAGAATGACCTCACAATCCAGAGGGTTAAAGAGGTGGTTTTTGTGCCTTTAAGTCCGATATGTAAATAAGCTCTGTTCTGATTGGCTGCCCTATCATTCAAAAAGCTTTTAGAGCTGAAACACTGCTTATAACTTCAGTACAAATGGGTGGGGCCAAACTGCTGTAGCCTGACTAGGCAGCTGACTGTAAATGTGTTGGTTTTTGTGACATCACTTAACTCAAAACGGGCTGTTTTTGCAGTTTAGTTTCCAAACATTGACGAAGGACTGAAGAGAAAATATATATATATTTTTTTTACCTTGTTAGTTCGTATTAAGTTTGATTCATCATATTATAACCATCATTTAAGAGATTAAATCCTCCATCAAAACAATATTAACCAATAACAGACGGCGCAATACCACTTTCTACTCAGATACCAATCCAATTTATTTTAATTACTAAGCCTTAAAATATATTTTCACATTTAAATATCATACTTAAACTCCTCGAACACTCCACTACCCCACTGTTATTATCATCACACGACGTTATGATGTGGTTAGTGGTGTTAAAATGTGACTCACTTTACTTCGATTTACGTTTTGCAGCACTAGAAGTATCTCTGAGTCAAAACAGGCTAAATGCCCTCAGAACACATTTAAAAGAAGATTAGTCTGAACGAAGACTCAGATTAACCAAACTGCACACTTCACAGTCCTACCCGAAACATCTGGCAGGAAGCAGCGACCTTTAAATTCCATCTGGTTTTCACTGCACTTGCTGAGTGTAGCTGCACTACACTAAAGCACAGCAGCCCTGTTTCTGACGCTCTTCCTCTACATGAGCAGTGTGGCGGCGCTACTGCAGGCACTGGCCACTCACACACAGTGTACAGCAGGTGAGAAACTGCAAGGTCTACAGACATTTATGTTCCAAAATAAGTCAAATTAGCTCCTCTTAGTCTTTGAATGCTGCTGTGGAACCCCAGTTTGTGTATATTGTTCTGCTGCCCTGTCCAGCTGGCATCCTGTGTACTTGTCATGTATATTTGTTGTTCTTTTCATTTATTGTGTTGTGATAACTGAACATATATTTAAGTCTAGAGGATTGGATCATTTTGTGCAATAAAGAAATAAAATTACAATATAAAACAAGTTTTCAGGAGACAAAAACCTTTCATTTTTTAATTTTAACGCAAGTTAAAGAGATTAAGCATTGGAGCATCTCTACTGGTCCATTGATACAATACATATTGTATGGACACACACACACACACACACACACACACACACACACACACACAAATAAAAATGTTACTGCAGTGCTGAGAATGACCCACCACCCAAATAGTACCTGCTATGTGAGGGTCCATGGGGGTCCTGACCACTGAAGAACAGGGTAAAAGGGGGCTAACAAAGTATGCAGAGAAACAGATGGACTACAGTCTGTAACTGTACAGTGCCTGCGGATCTACTCAAACGTTATGTAGTGCAGAATGTTTGAGAATTTCATCTGTTTTACTCCACTCGGACCCCAAATGTAGCCGATCCCCCAGGACGTGTTCGGCGTCTGAAGTTTGTTTCTTTGGTTTAACCAATTCAGCCACGAGGCTAAAGTAGCCGACATGCACTAGATGCTTATATCAAGTCAAAGTTTATTTATATAGCGCTTTTTACAACAGGTGTCTGAGCCCCCATGAGCGTCACCAATGGTGACAGCAGGAAGGAAAAACTCCCTAAGAGCAAGAGAAACACACACTGGGAGGAACCGAGACTCAAAAGAGGAACCCATCCTCCTCTGGACCACACCGGACAGCAAACAGTGTTAGTATAAAATATTAAAATACAGAAATGAGAAAAACAGGGGAAGCTATGGTTATAGTTAAATAGACAGTCTGTGCAGCAGCATCAGAAATACTATCCCACCGATTAGCATCAGTCGCTGTGGAGTTGTTCCTTAGCAGACTTGATTATGTGGTCAAGGCGGCTATGCGAGTGTACTTTAACGTACTTTAGTCCGTGTTCATAGAGAACCGAATGTCAGGAAGCACATAATCATGTTAGGTGAGCTCTGCTGTCTGCAGGTATCTGGGCAGTGATGCATGAGCAGGAGGAAAAGCAGGAGCTTTAAGGCCGCCTTTGATCCGCTCCCAGCAGACGTGCGTACGAGCTTACAGCCTCCAAATCCATCCGCGATCACGTTCGCTATCTCCCCGTCTGCTTCACTCCCTCTCTGATGACTTCAGCAGGTGGAGGAGCTGCAGGCCACAAAAAGGCCAAATGTTTCCCAACTCTGGCCTGAGCTGCCCCTGCTTTTACTTATTACTACATTCAGCTGCACCACCAACCCCAACACGGTCACTTTAAAGGGGAATTCCACTGATTTTTCAAAATTTCTGTGTAATTGAGGGTGTGAAACAAGCAATTCAGAGTGGTTTGGTGTGAAATGGTTCAGATGTCTCTACAGTGGTGGTGATAGGAACCAGGGGTCGCCATGACTACAACACAAATATAGACATTTTATTTACTATCCAGAACCACCAGTGAACCTACACGAGTCTTCTGAGTTTATATGGAATGTTGAAGATGGAAAATAGTGGAAAATCTGAAATAAGTTTTCTTTGGGGACTATTTTGCCTCGCAGCGCCCTGCAAGTATCTCTCTGCCACAAACGGATTTGTAAAACGACGTTTTAGCCAACACAGCATGTAAATAAATAGAAAAATGTTTATAAAAAGTTACAAAAATTCAAAAACGAAAAAAATGAAGCCACCACTGCCAACCAGCTTGCCTGGCTTATACATGGTGAAACTCCTAAACTAGCAGCTTGAAAATTACAACCAACTAAGGTAAAACATCTTGCAACTCATTTGAAACGCTGCGTGCAACTTTGTGCAAGTTGCTTTGTGTAACTGTCAAGTTGCATGGAAATTATGCTGGAGGCAACTCGCAACATGCAACAACTTGAAAACTGGCTTTACATATTTATGTAGAACTTTGCAATATTTTTCACAATTGCCACCACTAACTTCACAAGTGTTAGCTAAACTGTTGCTGTGCCATTCATCTCAAACATCTTGGCTTTGTGTTCTATAAAACAGATTAAGAGCTGATGACTTCAGAAATCAGCAAAAAAACAAACAAGAAAGTGACTTATAAGGGCTGGTTGGGTCCACCTGCCGTCAGAAGCTCAGCACTGACTGGTCCAAGAGCCGTTCATGATCGTAATAACCAGGAACGCAGTTCCGGGTCTGAGTGCCCATGAGCGTCACCAATGGTGGCAGCGGCAAGGAAAAACTCCCTAAGAACAAGAGGAAGAAACACTGAGAGGAACCGAGACTCAAAAGAGGAACCCATCCTCCTCTGGACCACACCAGACAGCAAACAGTGTTAGTATAAAATATTAAAATACAGAAATGAGAAAAACAGGGGAAGCTATGGTTATAGTTAAATAGACAGTCTGTGCAGCAGCATCAGAAATACCATCCCACCAATTAGCATCAGTCGCTGTGGAGTTGTTCCTTAGCAGACTTGATTATGTGGTCAAGGCGGCTATGCGAGTGTACTTTAACGTACTTTAGTCCGTGTTCATAGAGAACCGAATGTCAGGAAGCACATAATCATGTTAGGTGAGCTCTGCTGTCTACAGGTATCTGGGCAGTGATGCATGAGCACTGACTGGTCCAAGAGCCGTCCATGATCGTAATAACCATGAACGTAACCGGCGCTGGAGCAGGTTAGTTGTGCAGCATGAAGTTATCGTTGTGATGTAGTGCAGCGAAGTGATTGACCATCGTGAGACAGAAAACCCAGACCTGGACTGAACTAAGGCCAGAAAGACGTGCAACACAAGTACGCGGATGCAAATGACAGTGCTTGGCCAGTGCACTGCAAACGCTCGGTCCTTGTGTACAAACTGTGTTACTGTGGTGGTTAAAATACTCAGAACTGAAGGGGGCGATAGAGGACAGATCAGAGAGGATCTAGTGTTATTCCAATGTGGACAGTAGGGGGAGTGAGCTGCTTTACCTCTTCTGCTGGAACGAAAGGTGATAACAGATCATTTTTTTTGTTTATGTAAGCCGTCTTTGTGCGAGACTCCTCTGCTCGTCTATTATGGCAGTTGAGAAAACACGCTGGCGGCACAAGAGCGCTTGGACAGGCTTGGCTGTCGTTATAGCGCCCCCTACTGTAACACTTAGAATGCAGCTCGCACTTGAGTAGCATTATGAAATGCATTGTGACGCATTCTTGAATGCAACTGCGCGCAAAACTTTGCGTAGATCGAAGCGTCCTTGCGTGTAGTTTGTATACAGTGTGAAAACACTTTTTTGAATGGTTCAGACTTTTGGACCGATTACAGGAAGCTGAGACAGGTTATCGTCACCTGTTAAACAGTAGAAGAAGAAAAAGAACCGGGAGAGAAGTAAAAACGAGCCGTGGTAGCTCACAGAGAGAGGAGGAGATCAAATATTTAATGTTTAATCAACAACATGTCGATGTCATTCTCGAGCGACCGATCACGTGAACACACAGATTCTCATTAGGTCTGATTCACACGTACTGCGTCTGCGTGCAAGTCTTGCTTTTCATTTCGGAGCCCCTGATAAGGGGTCAGCGCTTTCAGACAGGCCACGAGTGCGAAGCCCAGTTTAGAGAACAGACCCGGAGCAGACTTTTTCCGCACGTCACGCAGCAAAATACAGTAAATAAGTCATGAAAATCAATGAAAAATAAACAGAAGGCCGTATAAAAAAGCCGATTATGTGATTCATGATGAAATATTAGTTAAACATTCCGTGCTGCAGACAGATTTCCTGGTTGGTCTATCAGGCTTGAAACTTTTGCCTAATCACAAGTCAGAATGCTGTCGAGGATAAACAAACATACCGTGCACTTTAATAAATATTTTTACTGATGTGGCCATTTATCTGTCTGAAAACAGGAATGTCTGTACAACTGTTTTGCTGCTCCGCAGCTCAAACGCTGTATGTATGAAAGGCCAGCGTGTCCGAGCTGTAGCGCTCGCGCTGCCGCACCACTCACGCCATACAGAGTCAGCTTGTGTGAATTAGATGTTAGAGAGAGGGTGGAGCCTCCAGTCCGACGGCCACAGCTGCCCAGTAAAACACCAAAAATAATCATTCGGTGGTTTAATTCCTGCTCTGTGTTTACTGGGAATAAATGGAGTTTGGTGAAGTTACCCACGGTGAGCCTGATGACCATGACTGCGTGTTATTTCAGAGAATAATGTATTTGTGATTAGACTGTGTCAGATATTGGATGCGTGCTGGACTGCACAGGTGGGAGTGGGCCGAATCGTTCCGGTTGCAGGCAGGAGTGGGAGAAATGACCGATTTTCGAGCAGGCGGGAGCGGGACTGAAAAAACAGTCCCGCGCAGACCTCTAAAACGAGAAACCCCTCAGCGTTCAGCTGAAATGTTCAGTAACTACTAAACTCAACGTAAGAGCTGGTTTGTGTTCTGTGCATTTTTACATCCTTACTGACCGAGTAAGCGTAACTGTGGACAGCCTGCTGTACTTCCTGCCGTCCACCAGAGTGGAGAGAGAGTGCAGGTCAGTTTAAAGAACGCCGGGTCCACAGCACACCGTGTGTGTGTGTGTGTGTGTGTGTGTGTGTGTGTGTGTGTGTGTGTGTGTGTGTGGAATGCAGAGTGATTGTGTATTTATAGCTCTCATACCAAACATTTCAGACTTCCAGATGGACGCGGCCGGTTAAACCTCGCTCTGGTTCTCTGTACAGTAACACACTGAGGCTCCACAAACCACACAGTAACTCTACACCTACCGTCTGAGTGGGGGGGTGGAGGGGGGGGGGTCGCAATGAAGGCGCTTCCCCCGAATCCTGGAGTGTGTCTGGAGGTCATGGCGCTGCACACACACTCGCGTATGCAGACACGTACGCAGCCACGGCCCGATATGACAACGTCATGATGCTGATTTTTATTTGCTTGGGGCAAAAATTGTTGATTAGATAAGCATTCAGGCTAATTCTGATGTTGGAGTATCGTTAAGTCTTAATTAAGGGATGTCTGATAAACCAGGAAGAGGAATGAATGAATGAATGAATGAATGAATAAATAAATAAATAAATAAATAAGTTCTTCAGCTTTTTTTTTAAATGTTTGTGTAACAGTATCAGCAGATTTGTGCATAAACAATATTAGTATCAGTAATGAACCACAATATCAGTGCATCCCTAATTTGATTAGACAGATGATTCTGTTTAGTGTTCAGTTTAGTTAGTTGAGCCTGACGACTCTTTAGTTTCTGCATCTTTGTGAGATCACAAGTCCAAATCCCGGCACAAAAACAAACAAAAATAACCAATAATAATAATAATAAAAAATGGTGCATTATTGCTGGAAAAGTTGTAGATATCAGTCGATATTATTGGCGAACCGATATAATCGGTCAGGCTGTACACACACACAAACAGCTCCGAGGACACAACGCGACGTGTGTGGCCAAAAAAAACCCCAACCAAAGCGTGATTTTAATTAAAAAGGCGCTCGTCTTAACAAAGCCGAGCGAGAGCTGAGCCGAAACAGCGCCTGCACCAGACGCGCACACGCGCAGGCCGAGCCCGAGCGGCCCTTTGATCTTAAATCTGAACCACATGGCCCTGCTCGGAGCACGTCCTTCAAGGAAAGAGATGAGATGTTAAAAAACAAAACATATGGCTTTACTTCTCCTTCTGAAAATATGATATTCCACAGGCACCCGTCCGCGCCGTTTTATCTCTGAAGGTAGAAATCAGAACATATTTCATCCAGAACCGAAAAAACAAACCCCAGATTCTCCCGACTGCATGCGAACCTTTTTAGGAGAGGAATCAAAAAGACAAACGCTGCGAAACGTAAACGATACGCCTGAACTTAAAGCACAGATAAGAGTCTTTACATCAAAACAAAATAAAACAGAACCTCAGACGTACCATCGAGAACGGACCAAGAGAACCGAACGCGCGGTCATTTAATCAGGAAGTGACTGTATAGATAAAATCAATAGCAAGTAATTCACTGAAAAACATTTATAATATATTCTTTGAACAAAAACACAATTTACAACCATATAAACCATATAAAACCATATACACACACACACACACACACACACACACACACACAGTCGCTGTTGGGACAAAACTCATTGCCATTTTTGGCTTTTTTATGCTTTACAGTAATTAGTTAACATGTAATTAAGTTTGAGTGTTTTGTCCTTCACCAAAAAAAGCTGCTAATTTGGAGATACAAAGTGCTTTGAGCTCTCAGCAAATGATAGTGTGCAAATGTGTGTATTTTATATATACACATACAAATATACACACACACACACACACACACACACACACTAAAAAAAACCCTAATATCTCCAAAATTATAACTTTACAGGAGAAGGAAAAAACCTTTTAATGTAAGTCAATGGAACCAGGCTTTTTGTCCAAGTAATTTTGGGCCATTTCTTTTGGTCCATTCATCATAAAATTTACACACAACGAAAAGGGAAACAGATATATATATATATATACACACACACACACACACACAGACATATAGACAAACACAGTTTTGTACAAAAAGTTTAGGAACCAGAGCAAAAAATTAAATAACTAAAATGTGTTAAATAAATAAAAAAAAAATTTAATAAATAAAAAAAAAAATTTAAAACACCACACACGTGTTCACATGCTGCAAAGCTCAATATTAGTTTCATTTATTTTTCAATACCTGGTTTAAATCAATTCATCATTTAAGGATTAAATGTGCTGCTGATGGAATACAACTCATATGTGCGCACAGACACAGAGACTATCTGGGTGGTGGGTCATTCTCAGCACTGCAGTAACACTGACGTGGTGGTGGTGTGTTCGTGTGTGTTGCGCTGGTCTGAGTGGATCAGACACAGCAGTGCTGCTGGAGTTATTAAACACCTCAGTGTCGCTGCTGGACTGAGAATAGTCCACCAACCAAAAACATCCAGCCAACAGCGTCCTGTGGGCAGCGTCCTGTGACCACTGATGAAGGACTAGAGGATGACCAACACAAACTGTGCAGCAGCAGATGAGCTATCGTCTCTGACTTTACATCTACAAGGTGGACTGACAAGGTAGGAGTGTCTAATAGAGTGGACAGTGAGTGGACACAGTGTTTAAAAACTCCAGCAGCACTGCTGTGCCTGATCCACTCGTACCGGCACAACACACACTAACACACCACCACCACGTCAGTGTTGAGAGTGACCAGCTGCCTATAGGTATAAGAAATGTTTCTGCAACCGGGCTGTGGAAGCTGCAGATGTGAGCAGCTCCCAAGCATTAAATCGCAGAGGTTAATATTTGCCTGTTAAATAAACCTCGATGATCAGCACTGAAGAGCCGCCTCAAGGAACCACCAGGCAAAAAGAATGAAAAAGGAATACAAACAAACAAACAAACAAACAAACAAACAAACTTTTACTGTTTTTCTGATGCAGATAGAGCAACTTCTAGGTTTTTATAAAAGCCTTAGAGGTTTTTAAGTATCTGAAATCAGAATCTGCAGATTTCTGCACCAAAGAATCAGCCAGTTTATTATTCTGCGTGTGTTTGATTGTATACGGTGTGTGGTCTGTGCTGCAGGTGTATGAGGAAAGGCAGGTGAAGCAGGTAAGAGCTCATAATTACACATGACTCATATTACTGAACAGCAAAAACGCCTTTTACACTCAGTACAGCTCTATTTAATTAATGCTATTTAAATATTAAATGGGTGAGTAATGTTGTTTATATTGTGCCTTTCACCAACAGAAAGTTCTGGAAGTGTGTTAGTGTGACGTTGGGTGTTAATTTAGCCCAACCTGTCTCTGTTTACACGCAAAGATTTTTGCCAATCTGACTGAATACATTCCGATTATAGATTAAGACTGAGTGTTTATATACCTGCTCTACTTAACAGTGAGTGTGTTTACTTGCACTTAATAATCTGACAGCTGCAGAGAATCAGACTGTGTCAGTAATCTGATCAACATGCACTTGAGTAATCAGATAATGGGGAAACTCCAGGTCTACATGAGTCAGACAGTAATCAGATTTCTGCTTTGCAACCAGCCAATAAACTCACAGAAGAAGACGCAGCGTAAAACTCAAACTTCATGCTGTGGCTTTTTTTTTGCTTGCATTTCACCACTTTACCTGAAAATATGAACACACTTCATCCAGAAGATGAAGAATATTCAAATCCTTCATTTCCTCAAGCATGAATTTGGTTTCAGCGTCGCTCCAAAAGTGTTTTGCTGCGTCTCGTGGCGTCTGCTCGCATATTTCTGGTACAGCCGTCTGTTTTCGCACATGCTCGGACTGAGAAATCCGAAAGAAATCAGAGTAAGAGTTCACATGCACTGAGAAATCTGATTACTGAGCTAAAATCCAGCCTCTTTATCAGATTTCTTAGTTGGCTCTTGCTTCGATCTAAGAAATTAGAGTGTGCTGTTTACACGATCACGTACACAGTCTGATAGAAGTCTCCGTTTACATGCTCACTACAAGTAATCCGATCCAAAATGATACGCATGTGTAGAGAACCACTTAGTGTAGATGTTACCATGACAACCAGCATCACGTGAGTCCAGTCAGAGTGAGATGAGCAGCAGTGAGCAGCGCTTGTGTTTTTAATTACTTTAAAATGATGTCAGACTCAGGAAAACGTCCTTCACATGTCCTTATTAAAGAAGGCCGAGAGGAAGACGTCGTGTTCTGAGACACATAAGCTGGACGTCCGTCCCACCGCCGTCTTTTAAAGACCAGAGCATAAACTTCGTCTCCTCTGCAGACCAGTTTCTGCTCCGCCATGGTGAACGGTATAAACTCTCACTATGACGTGACGAACATGATCAGAACGGACTTAAACTTTCCGATAGGGAATGTAATCAGATACAGGCGTTTACACGGATATTATTCTTCTATTTAACGGATTATTTACAGGATTCCCCACCTCGATCAGTCGGATAGAAACTATTCCGACTGAGGTGTTTACATGGACGTATTCTATTCAGATTGAGCTATTAGTCGGCTTATTAACGGATTATCAGGCTGTGTGTAAACATGGCTACTGTGAGATTTAGATTAATCCTGAAATCCCATATTTTTACTTCTTTTAGGTAATTTTATTTTATTAAAGTGTTTTACTCAATGCTTCATGATGCTTTTACTCATAATGACATAACGCCTGAGAAACTTATCTGCCAATGGAATAAAACACCTTTATAAGATAAAATTATTAAAGGGTCCGTATCCCACATTTTTTCCTGAGGCCCACTTATAACATTCATGTCCCAAAAACAATTTACTTATACATTTTCATTTAAAATTAAAGGTTACTGCGCCTTTAAGAGCGCTATACGTAAAAACAATGAGTGCGTATACATGCACTCAAAAATCAGATCATAAATCAGACTTCTGCAGTTATCCGATTATTCAAATGGTCATGTAAACACCATACTCAGATCTAGAAATCTGATTAAGAAATCCGATTAAGAGGCTGGATTTTAGCTCAGTAGTCAGATTTCTCGGTGCATGTAAACTCTTACTCTGATTTCTATCGGATTTCTCAGTCAGTGCGAGATCAGACGGTGGATGTCATGAGATGCAGCAAAACACTTTTGGAGTGGCGCTGAAACCAAACACGAAATAAAGGGTTTGAATATTCTTCATCTTCTAGATGATGTTTGTTCATATTTTCAGGTCAAGTGGAGCGATGTTTAAAAAAAAAACAGCGGCATGAAGTTTTGAGTTTTATGTTTACATCATGTCTTCTTCTGTGAGTTTATTGGCTGTTTGTAAAGCAGAAATCTGATTACAGTCTGACTCATGTAGACCTGGAGTTTCCCCATTATCTGATTACTCAAGTGCATATAAACGCATTGAACGTATTACTGACAAAATCTGATTTTCTGCAGTTATCAGATTGAGTGCATGTAAACACACTCACTGAGATGGATAAATATAAACGAGGTGGTTGTGACATCACAGAAACGAATTCAAAACAAGTTGTTTTTGCTGTTTAGTTTAGTCAGTATAGACTGTATAGACTGGAGAGTGAACGGTGTCTTTTGTGAACAATGTTTATATTACTTTATTATTATTATTATTATATGGTTTTCTATGATTTGGGCCCTTTAAAACAAGTAAAAACATTCTAGAAACAGGTTAAAAAAATTCTTAAAACATTGTTATAATGATTGTAAAATGAGAAACAGAGAAATATTAGACATATTGATTAGACTCAGGATGTTTTTACTTGCTATCATATCATTGTGTGCTGCGTGGAATCAGATCATTGTCATCTGTTAAATAAATAAATGAATTAATGAATGAATGAATGAATGAATGAGAGTGGTGTCAGCGCTGTACTCACAGTATGAAGTGTCGCAGTCGTCCACGCTATCTGTGGGCCGGCTGCCGACGAGTCTGGCCGTACTATTGGTCAGCAAACACATGCACGGCAGCGGCAGCAGGAGAAGGAGGACACGGTGGACGCTCATGGTGAAGGTGGCAGCTCACACAAGCAGAAAGTCCATCACATCACAACACCTGCAGGACAAACACGTCACAGCATCACCGACTGACCCACAAACGTCATCATAAACATTTCATCCGTACCAATTTAACATCCATCAGCATCACTGGTGAGATTTGTGCACCGTTTAGGAAACAAACTCATTTTGAGAACTAAACTAATATAAAAGTGTTAGGCTTAGTCTGACATCTAGTGGTCACTCTCTGAACTACAACTAAATCTATGGAAAATAAAGTTATAATATAAATAACACTAAAAAAACAAATTACATTCTTTACATCAGATGTGTGGAAAACCATACAGGCTGTAAAATGCAAAAACTAATGTAATATATACATTTTTATACAAAACAAGTATATATTATAACAATATACTCAAATACTTTTAAAACTATTACTATTAAGACTATTACGATTATTGTAGTTACTGATATGGTTTGATTATTACATGATTATTAAAGCACCCATATCATAGAAAAATGAATTTACATTGTTTTTTAGTGATGTCATACATCTGACTAATCAGCCTTCAGAAGTTTAACCCCACCCAGTCACGCTGATGTCACAAGGAGTGTTTCATCTCCGATTTAATTATTTTTTATCTATTTATTTATTTATTAAATAAATGAAGCAGCCAATCAAAACAGAGGTCATTTACAAAGGTCAGTCTTAAAGGCACAATAACAAAAGATAGCCTGATGATGAAGAGAGGCAGGATAAGTAGAATATGGGACCGTGAATATAATCATTAGAACTTCATTAATAAAAATATTAGAGGTGTAACGGTAGCTGCATTCGTTCCGACCGTCACGGTACGGACGTTACGGTCAGCTGCGAGACATTAGGCAGTTAACAGCGGTGGTCCACGGACCCTTTCTCTGCAGCTAGCGCCAAATGATCTGGTCCATCATCAGAATCAGAATCAGTTTATTATGTTGTGCATAGAAGCAATCAGTCTTGGTGAGACACAAATGACATAAAAGAACAGAGACTGTTAACAAATATTTAACAAATACAACAGTCGTGGGCTGAGGGTCAGGGAACCAGCCCTGTGACCGGAAGGTCGCCGGTTTGATCCCCTGACCTGACAGTAGGTGACTGAAGTGCCTTTGAGTAAGGCACCTAACCCCCAACTGCTCCCCGGGCGCCGTGGACAGGGCTGCCCACCGCTCTGGGCAAGTGTGCTTACTGCCCCCTAGTGTGTACGTTAAACGTTCCACTGCACAGATGGGTTAAGGGCGGAGGTGAATCTCCCCGTCGTGGGACTAATAAAGGGAAACATAACTGATAAGAGCGCCGTGGAGGAGCTAAAGAGAACGTGACTATCTGCACATAAGAACACCCAGACATACCTACTCATAACCCCTGACCCCTGATCAGCTGTGAGTTTGAGGTGAGAGGTGAGGAAGGCGGCTATCAAGGTCAACAAAGAGAGGATTTTAAAAACAAACTGAAGTTAAACGAGTGAAGCGAGTCTGATCCTCTACACAGCCTGCAGTGTTTCTGCACCAAGGCTACACACAGCAGGTAAAAATCCGATCTTTTTCCTCATATGTGACACAGATGTGTGTCTGTGTGAACAGATAAACACACAATCTGACATTTTCAGGTCCGATTTGAGACGCTTTCATATGTGGTACTGAAATCTGATACGTATCTGATCTGCGGCGATGTGACTCAGTCTGAACAGCCAGATCAGAATTCATGTGACTTTTACGTCAATCCAGCTCGACATTCGTCATAATTTCACGCTGCTGAGACTCAAACATTTAGGCTGATGTTTCTGTACCAAAAAATTATGAAGAGATTTTTGAAGAGATTCTGAAAGAAATGTCCGAACGCGGCCGCAGGAGAACGAGGCTGCAGAGTCAAAGAAAAAAAAAGTCTGAAAGCAAAGTTTAAAGAATCCGAAAACGTGAACCAAAGAAGTGACCGCGCCCATTTTACAGCGAGCTGAACACAAATGGGCACATAAAATATATATTAAAATCAAATTTCTCAGTCGTTTCTATAAATTTGTTGTCTTTGTAGTATTTTCCTTTAAAAATATGGTTTACATGATTTGCACATCATTGCGTCCTATTTTTTATTTACATTCTGTACAGCGTCCCAACTTTTTTGGAAACTGTATTTGCCTCTTAGATTAAACCTCTTAAACTCCTTGAGACCACCGGTGGTTCCAAAACGCACTTCGTCATATTCTTCAGAACTTTCATATTTCATAAGCTACATTCTAAAGGTGGGGGTCGTATGAGAGCTGTAACTGTCTTCTTTCCAGTCAAATAGATGGTGATGTAATTTTAAACCCTTATAATAAAAGAAACTGAACTCAGTTTGTTTTTTCTACTGAAAGTCGACCCATTTTTCCACAAATCTGGGCTATAAACTATAAACAGATGGCGTCTCTTCAGTGATCTGCTCTGGAAACATTATTTTTATAAAATAATACAAAGAGCGTCTAAGATTTTTGGCTTTCAGCAGTGAATTGTAAGCATATAGCAATTTGTGTGATCATAAAACACATGTTCTGTTAATTTGAGGGGAACTTTTACAAAAAATAAATAAATAAAATAAAAATTTGTATTTATTTCATGCAGTTACTGAATAATTTGCCTTACGATTTGGTCATGAAAATTCAGATGGAACAACCAAAATATACCCTGGAGAATAAGAGGTTAATACTTGTTAACAATCTGTGTGTTTCTCTGGTCTGTTCAGTGTGTTGTGACTCACCAACACTGATGATTCATTTGTGTAACATACTTGGAGAAAAATAAAGTAAGGCTGTGGTGGAACCGAAAAATTAGGGAAAAAAAACAAAAACAAAAACAAAAAAAGCAAAAATCTCTAAAGGTGAACTCACACTAAGCTGATTTGCGCTGGAACTTTGCTTACAGGCGACTGGTAAGTGCTGGGAAGCAATGAGGAAGTTCCAAAGGTGAAATGTGCTCCAGGTTTAATCTGCCGCTCCCAGAGCCTTCGGGAACGAGCGCTCAGTCTCGGCCCATAAAGCAAACAGCCCAGCGAGTTCCTCCGCACTGATCCAGGATACGCTCAGCTTTCACTGAATAACCAAACGACGCAAAGCAGAACAGAACAGAACGTCTGCACGCGCTAAACCGGCCTCGCATGAGAGGAACCATCAACAACTAAACCATAAACCAGCTGCTGAGCTTAAAGCAGGACAGAAACGGAGCAAAACACGAAAACATACAGACGCAATTCCAACAGAGCGGAAGAAGAAAGAGAATTCCCCCAGTTTTCCTTTCTTACTCCAGATGTACTCTTAAAAGAGGGTTCTTCAAGCGTTCTTTAGTAAAGACGATCATTCTACAAACACACCGGTCAGGCATAACATTCTGACCACCTCCATGTTTCTACGATCATTGTCCATTTTATCAGCGCCACTTACTATATAGGGTCACTTTGTAGTTCTACAGTTACAGACTGTAGTCCATCTGTTTCTCTGATACTTTGTTAGCCCCCTTTTACCCTGTTCTTCAGTGGTCAGGACCCCCATGGACCCTCACAGAGCAGGTACTATTTGGGTGGTGGATCATTCTCAGCACTGCAGTAACACTGACGTGGTGGTGGTGTGTTAGTGTTTTGCGCTGGTCTGAGTGGATCAGACAGCAGTGCTGCTGGAGTTTTTAAACACCTCAGTGTCACTGCTGGACTGAGAATAGTCCACCAACCAAAAATATCCAGCCAGCAGAATCCTGTGGGCAGCGTCCTGTGACCACTGATGAAGGACTAGAGGATGACCATCACAAACTGTGCAGCAGCAGATGAGCTATCGTCTCTGACTTTACATCTACAAGGTGGACCGACAAGGTAGGAGTGTCTAATAGAGTGGACAGTGAGTGGACACAGTGTTTAAAACCTCCAGCAGCACTGCTGTGTCTGATCCACTCAGACCAGCACAACACACACTAACACACCACCACCACGTCAGTGTTACTGCAGTGCTGAGAATGATCCACCACCCAAATAGTACCTGCTCTGTGAGGGTCCATGGGGGTCCTGACCACTGAAGAACAGGGTAAAAGGGGGCTAACAAAGTATCAGAGAAACAGATGGACTACAGTCTGTAACTGTAGAACTACAAAGTGCACCTATATAGTAAGTGGAGCTGATAAAATGGACAGTGAGTCTAGAACCAAAGAGGTGCTCATAATGTTAAGCCTGATCGGTGTGTATATGAACACACTCAGAACCATCTGCATGGTGAAATGGTTCTTCAGGTTGACTGAGAACATGTTAAAAAAAGGGTTCTGCTATTGTTGCACGTTTGTCATCACAACAATACAACCACCCTTTTTGGTGTTATGTGAAACTCTTTACAAAAAAGGTTCTATACAGAACCATACACAGCACGCAAAGAGTCACTTAAGCATGCAAATGGTTCTGAGTGTTCGTGGTTCTATGTTCACCAAGTTTGTTCTTGAATGCGCTCTTGAGAAAGGTCCTAAGAAAAAGATTCAAGACGTGTTCTTTAGGCGCAGAACTGTTCTCACCTTTGGGCTCTTGAGGGTGTGCAGATTCTGACAAACCCCAAATAAGAGAACAGAACCTGTCAGAACCTTCGTCAAAACAGCGCGGGTTTTAAGAAGCAATTTCTTCCTAAGAACAGTTGGTGAATGAGACCCTAGAGAACCCTAGAGAACCATCTTTTTAAGAGTGTAGTCAAACAGCCAAGACGTGGTTTGGTGTCTGAAGTTTGCTTCTTCAGTTCTGACAATGCAGCTATGAGGCTAACGTAGCTAACAAGTAATGGAAGCTTATGTACACCAGTTAGCATCGTGCTTACATCAGCACCCATCTGAGACCAAGGCTGTGTCCCAATTCAGGGGCTGCGTCCTTCAGAGGCTGCATTAGAAGGTCGACTGTTTTCCATGGCAACGAAGGATCCAACGGGTGGATCCTTCACCATCCAACAGATCCCGAGGTTCACTGCGCATTGGCGGGGATTCGAGAACATGGTGGCGTCTGCAGAGGAGCGAACGGCGGCTGAGGAGTACATGAGAACTTGTAGAGAGTAGAATTATCACTCTAAATGTCTGAGTTTCTCAAACACTAGAGGGCGCTCCCGAGCGAGTCCAAAATGAATGAGTTGATATGGAGCATTTGAGCAAAATGAGTTTATAAATGCTGAAACATTTTTAATGTAAAATAATACACTTATTTCCTGAACACAGAGCAGCATAAAACATTTTAACACTGCTGTTATATTTTTAAGAGCTTTTAAACTCGAGGTATAGGAGTTTAAAACGGCGCCTCATGTACGTTCATGACATCAGTGAGCGCGAACAGTAAATGAGCTGCTCCGGTCACCAACCAATCAGCTCTCAGTAGCAGTAATGTTGGCGTCCTGCTGCCCAAAACCTGTTTGCTGTAGAAAAGGAAACAAACAGGTGAGTTTTCTTTGCTTTTTTAGTGAAATCCATCCTTCTACTTTCTAAAATCAAAGAAAAGTTCTGGTTCAGTGATTAGAAACTTTTTTAACTTCTCATTTTTAGCCGTTCAGCTCCATTCACTCCCATTTATTGAGGACCCGCTCTCTGGTGCCCTCTGCTGTTCTGCAGTCCTGCTTTTGATATAATGGGCGAAATAGGAAGAGGCCAGGCTTCCTAATAAACCGGCTCTGGGAGTTCACTTTTAAATGTAAGTATTGGGTTTAAACTGAGTCGAATAGCGAACGATACAAATGTTAAAGAAGTCAATGTGGGCTGAAGCAAAAACTTACGCTAACGTTTCCATTTTGTTTTGGGGAGCAAAGAGCCGACAGAGAGACGCATCTCCAGCTGTAATAAACGAAAAATAAAAAATAAAATAAGAGTTTCTGGCTCCATTTTTTTTTTTTTTACCCGATTTTCTCCCCAATTTAGTCGTCTCCAATTCCACCCGCTAGTTAGGACTCCCCCAATCACACGATGCTATCAACGCTAGGAGGGCGAAGGCTAACACAGGCTTCCTCCAAGACCTGTGAAACCAACCACGGCTTCTTTTCGAGCTGCCGCTCACGCAACGTCACTGGACAGCCGAACGCGCTCGGAGGAAAGCGCCAACCGCCAGATCTGTTACGTCAGCTAACAGACGCCTGCGCTGACTAGCATCACGCTGAGTGATGGGGGGAGAAGGAGGGGCCATCCCACCCACCCAGAGAGAGCGAGGCCAATTGTGCTCTCTCGGACTCCCGGCTACGGACGGCTGTAGCATCACCAGGGATCGAACTCGTGTTCTCCTGATGAGGGACAACGCTTAGACAGTTGCGCCACTCAGGAGCTCTGGCTCCATATTTAAAGAACTTTAGAAGATCTTGGGGTTTCGTGACGCAGCGATGAAGGCGCAGAGCAGACCGTCTCATTTCAGTTCAGCCTTCGAAGGATGCAGCCCCTGAATTGGGACACAGCTTGTTTGGAGTCGTTCAGTGTCTCTAATAGACTTGATTAAGTGGTTTCTGACTCACTGTGATCTATAAACATGGACTAAACTACATTAGCATAGCTAAACACAGTTGTGGCCACCTAGAAACCAGATTTTCAGTACAGGAGCAGGTTTGAAAACCACAACCACAAGCAAGAGCCTAACTTCTACATGTGGGTCTAATTCTGCAATTGGGAAAAGAAATCAGTGCTCGGTTCTCCTGTTATGATTTTCCTGAGGCCCTCAGGCATCAAGATGTTAATGATCATGATCTCCAGCCAGAAAGGACAGTGGTTCTAGATACAAATAAGTAAAATTTGCTTTCCTGTATCAACATGCTTAAAAGATATTGACACCAATATGCCTTTTCCATCACTTTCTCCATAACAGACCTAACACCCTTATAAAACCCAGCACCTTCAACTACAAAATAAGTAAACAAAATCATCTACGTGGATATAATGAGTAAAAATGCAATACTTTTATATATGTGCTCATCATTTGAATTGGTATGTCTGACATGAGTGCCAAGTTTGCACTAAAATCCACGGAATTGCAGCAGAACTCTAAACAGTGACATGTCTGCAATGGTGTCAGAAGTGGGATAGGACAGTGAGAGTTAACAGTGAGAGCTGTGAGCTGTAAGCGAGAGTGTTTTTTTTGCTTTTCAGCATTCAGAACTTGCTCTTCTTGTATCATCAGAGACTTTGAGATGAAAAATGTTAATCTAAAATCAGCTTCTGGCTTTTTGTAGATTTTATTTTGCTTTTTTTTCAATTATATTTTGCATTAATGCCACTCATCACCGGGGGTGAACGATTAATCAGTTTTTACTGAAACAGCAATTTGAAAGAGTGGGATTTTTAAAATCACAAGAGCTGCCATTTTAATTATAGCCAACATTACTCACACGTATGTTAAACCTTAGATAGAGAAATATAACAATAATAATAATAATAATAATAATAATAATAATAATTACTAATACTACTACTACTACTACTACTACTAATAATAATAATAATAATAATAATAATACAGGACTTGTGAACTGGGGCATTACATGGTGTTAAAGCCTAAAGCCTGAAAAATGCATGCGCTGCATTGCTTGGTGAAAAAAGGCCTACAGCTTAATTTAAAGAAAGTAACAGCATTTAAATTATAATCATAACACTGGTCAGAGAAATCGCCATTCGATATTGTCCGCAAATCGTTCATCACTAATATTCAATAAAATTAGCCCAATGTTTTGAAGTCTGTAGAGCTGAACCTTAACTTTCTAGGCTTCATTTGCTCTCTTAACATCGCATGTTCAGGATTTCTATAAGCGAGAATACTAACTGAACATGCATTTAAATTTTTAAAACATGTTATCAGAAACTATGAATTCGATTATTTGGATTTTTATGCTAAAATAACCCGAGAAAAAAAAGAGTGCAGCTTTCTTTCAAGCTGCTGTTCGCGCTCTCAACCACCAGGTGTCACTAATGTGCGGTGAGATTTAACAGCTTCGAGAATCGAGCAGCTCCTCAGACACGTTTTAAAGAGAAGCTTCGCTGCTTCAGAAAAAGCCTCGTTTTATTATCAGCACCAGAAACTAAAAACAAACTTCAGAGGCGTGAACTGCGCTCATTTACTCACCAGAGAGAGACAGGCGGAGCTCCGCTTAGCTAGCCTGTTAGCTTCTCCCAACATCAGCCGGACCTGGCTCTCTAACTCAACACCTGCTGCTCAGGAGAGTCCAGTACGCGACCCGGAAAGTCGTACACGCTGTAACCAGCCCTGTTTCGGAGTCTGTGCTGATCTTTAGACGTTGAATCTCTCGGTCTGGAACATGTTTGCGGTTTGCTAGCCGACCAAAAAGACACGACTCTAGTTTCTTCTTTCGGGCTTTTATTTTGCACTGAACCGGCACATTGCTGCCCTCTACAGCGCGCTCTCAGACACTGCACTTAAAGGGGAACTCCACCGAAAATAATCCTACATAATTAAATGGTTAAATTGTAAATTGATTAGTCCAACGTGCTATTTATAATGATATTTTATCATAAAAAATGTCTAACGAGATTTAAAAGGATGATGGTGTTTTATCATCTGAAACAGGAGCCTCTACAGTTTTGTGTAGTAAAGGTTTCTCCTATTTAACATAATAATTCAGTGCTTTTTGCACAATATTTATTAAAAGGTATGGATCAAGACCGTGGAATTGGATACACGATTTTATCCGAGATTTATATTTTATTATACATTTTAAAGATTTTTTCCACAGCTTCTTTGAATCGATGTGCAGTTGTTTTTTGTGTGCCTTGTATTCATGAACTTTGGTGATTTGTTAGCCAAATACAGACGGATACAATCCCATTTTTAATAAACATGCTTTGCTTTATACAATTCATTATTGAGAGGGTTTCTTTTTAACCTAAACATACTGTAATATTAAAGCAGGTGTAGATGTTAAAGTAATGTAATAACTGCAGGCTGAATGATAATTTCTTCGGGACTTTTATTATGAATGCCTAGTTTAGTGATACGGAAGTACTGAAACCCTGTAGGTGTTTTGTGACCGAGGGCGAATTTATTTGATCTTAAAGCAGCAAAACCCGAAGACCAAGATGATCAAGGCTATTCTTATTTTTAACAACCACGGGAAGCCGCGGCTCATCAGATTCTACCAGTACTTTGTAAGTTATTGACTCCCGGGTCGTCAGCAGGCAGCTGTTAGCTGTTAGCGGTTAGCTGTTAGCGGTTAGCTGTTAGCTCGTGCAGCTGTATCTGCGGATAATAAACCGATTTCAGGTTTATGATGCTCTCTGTGTTTTTCTGTGCGGATATAGTCGGAGGCTTATAGACAGATCTATTACTGCGGTATAACTGTATTACTAAACATCAGGTGAAACACTGCTGTAATCTCTGTCTGTCTATCTATCTGTCTGTCTATCTATCTATCTATCTATCTATCTGTCTGTCTGTCTATCTGTATGTCTATCTATCTATCTATCTATCTATCTGTCTGTCTGTCTATCTATCTATCTATCTATCTATCTATCTGTCTGTCTGTCTGTCTGTCTATATCTATCTATCTATCTATCTATCTATCTATCTGTCTATCTGTATGTCTGTCTGTCTATCTATCTGTCTGTCTATCTATCTATCTATCTATCTGTCTATCTGTATGTCTGTCTATCTATCTATCTGTCTGTCTGTCTATCTATCTATCTATCTATCTATCTGTCTGTCTGTCTGTCTGTCTATCTATCTATCTGTCTGTCTGTCTGTCTGTCTATCTATGTATCTGTCTGTCTGTCTATCTGTCTATCTATCAATCTGTCTGTCTGTCTGTCTGTCTATCTATGTATCTATCTGTCTGTCTGTCTGTCTGTCTATCTATCAATCCATCTGTCTATCTATCTATCTATCTATCTATCTATCTATCTATCTGTCTGTCTGTCTGTCTATCTATGTATCTGTCTGTCTGTCTATCTGTCTCTATCTATCTGTCTGTCTGTCTGTCTGTCTATCTATGTATCTGTCTGTCTGTCTATCTATCTATCTATCTGTATGTCTGTCTGTCTATCTATCTATCTGTCTATCTGTCTGACTGTCTGTCTGCCTGTCTGTCTGCCTGTCTATCTATCTATCTATCTATCTGTATGTCTGTCTATCTATCTATCTGTCTGTCTGTCTGTCTATCTATCTATCTATCTGTATGTCTGTCTATCTATCTATCTGTCTGTCTATCTATCTATCTGTCTGTCTGTCTGTCTATCTATGTATCTGTCTGTCTGTCTATCTGTCTATCTATCAATCTGTCTGTCTGTCTGTCTATCTATCTATGTATCTATCTGTCTGTCTGTCTGTCTGTCTATCTATCAATCCATCTGTCTGTCTATCTATCTATCTATCTATCTATCTATCTATCTATCTATCTGTCTGTCTGTCTGTCTGTCTATCTATGTATCTGTCTGTCTGTCTATCTGTCTCTATCTATCTGTCTGTCCGTCTATCTATCTATCTGTCTGTCTGTCTGTCTATCTATGTATCTGTCTGTCTGTCTATCTATCTATCTATCTATCTGTATGTCTGTCTGTCTATCTATCTATCTGTCTATCTGTCTGACTGTCTGTCTGCCTGTCTGTCTGCCTGTCTGTCTATCTATCTATTTTGGTGTAACGATTCTCAAAAGCCATAATTCTTCTCAGTTCAGTAGGATCTCGATTCAATACAGCAAAAACAAGTGGATCAGACACAGCAGTGCTGCTGGAGTTTTTAAACACTGTGTCCACTCACTGTCCACTCTATTAGACACTCCTACCTTGTCAGTCCACCTTGTAGATGTAAAGTCAGAGACGATAGCTCATCTGCTGCTGCACAGTTTGTGTTGGTCATCCTCTAGTCCTTCATCAGTGGTCACAGGACGCTGCCGGCTGGATATTTTTGGTTGGTGGACTATTCTCAGTCCAGCAGTGACACTGAGGTGTTTAAAACTCCAGCAGCACTGCTGTGTCTGATCCACTCAGACCAGCACAACACACACTAACACACCACCACCATGTCAGTGTTACTGCAGTGCTGAGAATGATCCACCACCCACACAGTACCTGCTCTGTGAGGGTCCATGGGGGTCCTGACCACTGAAGAACAGGGTAAAAGGGGGCTAACAAAGTATCAGAGAAACAGATGGACTACAGTCTGTAACTGTAGAACTACAAAGTGCACCTATATAGTAAGTGGAGCTGATAAAATGGACAATGAGTGTAGAAACAAGGAGGTGGTCAGAATGTTATGCCTGATCAGTGTATATTTCATACAGACTGAATACAAATATAGAGAAAATGTAAAAACAGTGTGTTTCTCCTGTGTGTTCTGCTTCAGGCGGAGGACATGCAGCAGCAGATCATTCGCGAGACATTTCATCTGGTGTCGAAGAGGGACGACAACGTCTGCAATTTCCTGGAAGGTGGCAGGTAATTATATATCATAAACAACACTACAGTTTCACAAAGACGCAGATCTAATATGCATAAATAAACCCTTTACATTAATTCTATAGGCCGCAGTTCTGCAGAATATGGACAGGACGCTAGTAAACTATTGTACATGAATACGTTAATTAATCACAACAGCCAGAGAAACTCATCTAGAGCTGTGATTGGTCAGGATGCTTACAGCACACAGTGAAGAACACTCTGATTGGGTAGAGAGCTCATTTGCATATTACAATCTTCAGTATATGTACTTCAAAGGTCAATTTCACAGTAATGATATAAGAAACCGTATATCATGCAGCCCTCGTAGATGCCTGGCTCACAGTGATGGTGGTGTTTGTGTTATGAATGTAGATTTTACTGTCATATTTCTTCTTTACAGCCTGATTGGTGGCTCAGACTACAAGCTGATCTACAGACACTACGCTACGCTGTACTTCGTGTTTTGTGTGGATTCCTCTGAGAGTGAACTTGGGATTTTAGATCTTATACAGGTAAACAGTACATAAACATAAATATAAAATATTAAAGTTCTGTTTCTGTGAGCTCAGGGTCTGTAAGTGATACTGATACTCATTTATACTGGTGATCTTAGTCTTGGTATTTACTGAAGAATGTATAGCAGATACTGAATAACTCATAGTAGATGTTGAATTGTTTACAGTATTAACTGTAGAATTTATAGTAGATGCTGAATCATCCCTAGTTATTATTGAGTAATTTGTAGCATTTACTGAAGAATTCATAGCAGATACTGAATAATTCCTGGTAGATACTGAATTATTTATGGTACTTACTGAATAATTCATAGTAGATACTGAATAATTCATAGTGGGTACTGAATTATTGATAGTAATTACTAAGTAATTCATAGTAGATACTGAATTATGTACAGTATTTATTGAATAATTCATACCAGAAACTGAATAATTCATAGTAGTTACTGAATTATTTCTAGTAATTACTGAATAATTCGTAGTAGATACTGAATTATGCATAATATTTATTGAATAATTCATAGTATCATTCAGTTTCATTCATTACATTCAAATTTTGATTTTCTGTTGTCGTAATTCACTTCTACATGATAATATTCCAACGAATATTCATCCCATACAATTAAACAGGCTGTTTTTGTTACTGTACTTTTAAGAATGATATATATGTAAATGAGCTCTGTTCTGATTGGCTGTGGCTCATAGTAGATCTTGAATAATTATCAAGTCTGTTTTGTGTTGTTAGGAGAACCAGCACATTTATGTATATACACCTATTCAGCCTGCAGCAGTTTAGCTCCGCCCACTCACACTGAAGATATAAGAAGTGTTTCAGCTTGGACTACTTTTTAAATGAGGCACAGCCAATCAAAACAGAGCTCGTTTATGTATATCATTCTTACAGGCACAGTAACAAAAACAGCCTGTTTAATTGTACGGAATGAAGATTGGTTGGAAAATTATCATCTAGAAGGGAATTACGACAGAAAATCAAAATTTGATTATGAGTTACAGTATAAAAAGACGGCATGTAATCAAAAATAATTCAAATGAATTCTGTTAGATGTTAATCCGAAGTATGACTACAAAATGTTATCACTTCAGGTCGATCACATCTGTGTCATTTTCCCTCATTGAACTAAATTGTTTCTGGTTATGAATGGCTTAATAACTGTAATAAAACATCAGTATAAAGGCTTAAAGAGGAAACATTCTGCCCTCATTTCAGCATTAAAGGACAAACACATGAACCACACGTACAGCAAGAGGGCAGTGTTGCTTTAAATATGTCATTTTGTCTGTGGTGTCTCAGCGAGCACAGCGAGGCCTTTTCTCACTGCTTACACTGCTGAGTAATAAGTAACTGAGTGGACGTTTCTGTGATGCTTGAAGAACCACAGATCAGTTTTGCCTACAAACTGAATTTGTCTCTGGAAGCATAGCGGCTTTCTCTGGAGTTTCTCCCTCATGAAATGTCTTTCAGTGTTGTTTTAGGTGAGTGTTATAATTGTGAGCATCTGTTTTCAGGTGTTTGTGGAGACTCTGGATAAATGCTTTGAAAACGTCTGTGAGCTGGACCTGATCTTCCACATGGACAAGGTGAGTCCAGCTGACTTCTGCTGAACAAAATCTCACTTTCCTCAGCTGAAATGTGCCACTGCAGCATTTTTTGTCATGTCATTTTTTTTTTTATAAATGATTGAACATCACTGTATGGCCAAAAGTATGTGTATCTGTATGAGCTTGTTGGACATCCCATTCCAAAACCATGAGAATTAATATGGAGTTGGTCCCCACTTTGCGGCTATAACAGCTTCCACTCTTCAGGGAAGATGTTGGAGAGAGTCTGTGGGAATTTCTGCCCATTCAGTCAGAAGAGCTCAGAGGTCAGACACTGATGTTGGACGAGAGGGTCTGGCTTTCAATCTCCATTCTAGTTCATCCCAAAGGTGTTTAGTGGGGTTGAGGTCAGGCCTCTGTACAGGCCACTGGAGTTGCTCCACACCAAACTGGTCACATCATGTCTTTATGGAGCTGCTTTGTGCTCAGGGGCTCAGTCATGCTGGAACAGGAAAGGGTCTTATTATCCCTCCTCCACCAAACTGTACTGTTGGCTCTGCATTCCAGTAGGTAACGTTCTCCTGGCATCCACCAAACCCAGATTCACCATCAGAGCTGCCAGATAGTGAAGCTGATTCATCACTCCAGAGAACACGTTTCCACTGCCCAGAGTCCAGTGGTGGCGCTCTACACCACCCCAGCCGACACTTGGCACTGCACATAGTGTTCTGCGTGGTCTGCCACTTCGTGGTTGAGCTGTTGTTGGCAGTAGACATTTCTATTTCACAATAATAGCACTTACAGTTGTCTGGGGCAGATCTAGCAGGATGGAAATTTCACAAACTTACTTGTGACAAGTGGCAGTGCCACATTTAAAGTCACTGAGCTCTTCAGTACGACCCATTCTACTGCCTGTGTTTGTCTATGGAGACTGCAAGGCTATGTGCTGGATTATATCCCTCTGTCAGCAATAGGTGTGGCTGAAACACCTGAACTCAATGATTGCGAGGGGTGTCTAAGTGAAAATAAGTGAACATATCCTCTACAGGGAACACACTTCTGCATTTTATGCAGTTACTGTTTATACGCAATGAACTTCTCGTTTTCAAAAATGTAGCATGTTGTTTTATGAGCTGGTTAGAAGGACACAGGTTTGGTTCCTGGCGTGTTGCTGCACTGTAACACTGGCCTGCCACATGAAGAGGTCTGCAGATGGTTAACTGCATTTATACTTATATCCATAAAAATACAGATAAACAGAAATCAAGAGACAAACAATGATAATAAAACAAAGAAAACAAATAATGAAGCATAAATAAGCCAGTATTTTTCTGTTGTGGTCATTTCAGTCATATGTTACTGTTTTATTCAGTAGTAAAACACAGGCTTATATAACAGTTCTTTTTATTATGTTTTTTATATTGAGCAGTCATTGCCCCCTTTAAAAACAGATGTGGTGACGCGGCAGATACCTGAGAAGCCGATTTTATGATGTCCTTTGTTTTGTTTTGTAGGATTTCTGTAATTAGTGTTGCGTCTGTGTTATTAATATAATTCTGCATTGATAAACGTAATGTTCCTGTTGGCACAGTGAGGTTTGGTCAGTGCGTTCTCCAGGCTCGGTGGCCAGCGTGGATCCTTGGCGGTGTTTGAGTGAGAAGCTCCGTGTTCTTTATGCTCTGTGATTTTCATGGTGTGGTTGTAAAGGTTTATGAAGTGTGGTATATTGGCTGTATTTAGTGGGTTATCGAATCTCAGTAGAGAGGTTTATGAGCTCGCTGTGTTGTGGGAAGGGCTTTAATACACCTGAATGACACTCTGTCCCAGACGCTCCTTTAACAACCTTATCACTGATCTTCTCTTTGAGCACAGGTTCTGGTTATGTGGATACCTGAAACCTGAAACCGGAAACTTTTTTTGTTTTTCTGGGGCATAAATTTAGTGTCATGTGACAGATTTCCCTCAAATGCCTCTTACAGCAGACAAAACCAGTGCATGCAAAAGTTTGGTCAAATAACACGTCCTGTCCACATTTTTTCGCCGGACTGGTTCACCTGTTTGTTGCAGCGTTAGCTCGTGTAAAAACAGAGCAGACTAAAGAAAAAGGTGTGATAAGTCCTCACCAAACAAAGCGCCTGTGGGAATAACTGTGGGAACGTGACCTGCACAGCCTTAGCAGCTTTAATCAGTGAGCACACAAGCCTTTCATTTCAACTGCAAGTTAACCCTTCTGTTGTCACATGATCTAAACATGACACTGACCCTGTGTGGATCTGAGCCTCCTTATACTGAAATGGTTCATACAAGCTTAGGCAGTAATTTGCGTTTTCGTCTCCGGTGAGTCTGTGTTCTGAAAGAAGTTTAAAGACAATAACAAATTGCTTTTATACATAGCATTTCATCATAAACACTGCTTATTGCTCCTTTAACACATCCTCTACCAAAGATGAAAGCTTTAAGTGCTGTTTGTCTGATGGGGGCAGTTTTGGTGTCTACCAGGTCTTCCAGGTGGTTGTTAGGCGCCTCATTTTCTCTATAGCTCTTAATCAGTTTTTGAACTCCAGTTTTGGAAACTCACTTATTTTTCTTTTGCTTTTTCCTTCCTCATACAGGTGGATTATCTCATATCTAACCTGCTCAGACGTATCTGATCTGGATCAATAATTTGTACTAATATATATATATATATATATATATATATATATGTATGTATGTATGTATGTATGTATGTAAAACACAAATGAAGCTGCTTTTTCACAGCACGCACTTTACTCAACTGAAATCACTACACCCTCAGGTTTATTGATCTCTGTGCTCTGTTCTGCAGGTGCATTATATCCTGCAGGAGGTGGTGATGGGCGGGATGGTGCTGGAGACCAACATGAATGAGATCGTGGCCCAGGTGGAGCTGCAGAACAGGATGGAGAAATCTGAGGTGAGTCACACGTTAAAGTACATGCAAAGAAAGATGCCGTCTTTATTGACACACTTATAAGTATAAGAACATACGGTGGAACATAGTAGGAACGTCACTCCAGAGAACACGTTTCCACTGCTCCAGAGTCCAGTGGTGGAGCTTTACGCCACTCCGGCCGACGCTTGGCACTGCACATAGTGATCTGCGTGGTCTGCCACTTCGTGGTTGAGCTGTTGTGGCCCGTAGACGTTTCTATTTCACAATAATAGCACTTACAGTTGTCTGGGGCAGATCTAGCAGGATGGAAATTTCACAAACTTACTTGTGACAAGTGGCAGTGCCACATTTAAAGTCACTGAGCTCTTCAGGTCGACCCATTCTACTGCCTGTGTTTGTCTATGGAGACTGCAAGGCTATGTGCTGGATTATATCCCTCTGTCAGCAATAGGTGTGGCTGAAACACCTGAACTCAATGATTGCGAGGGGTGTCTAAGTGAAAATAAGTGAACATATCCTCTACAGGGAACACACTTCTGCATTTTATGCAGTTACTGTTTATACGCAATGAACTTCTCGTTTTCAAAAATGTAGCAGTTGTTTTATGAGCTGGTTAGAAGGACACAGGTTTGGTTCCTGACTTGTTGCTACGCTGTAACACTGGCCTGCCACATGAAGAGGTCTGCAGATGGTTAACTGCATTTATACTTATATCCATAAAAATACAGATAAACAGAAATCAAGATACAAACAATAATAATAAAACAAAGAAAACAAATAATGAAGCATAAATAAGCCAGTATTTTTCTGTTGTGGTCATTTCAGTCATACGTTACTGTTTTATTAGTTCTCAGTAGTAAAACACAGGCTTATATAACAGAACAGGATGGAGAAATCTGAGGTGAGTCACACGTTAAAGTACATGCAAAGAAAGATGCCGTCTTTATTGACACACTTATAAGTAAAGAACATACGGTGGAACATAGTAGAGTTAAAAACACTCATAATTGCGCTGCAAACACCTCAACTACCTTTTACAAATGCACTACAAGTAAAGGAAACTCAGGCGACTTCAGAGACGCTGCAGCCACAGTCACAACACAATGGAAATGTTTCTGGAAGACTCAAAAGGCTCAAAGTGGAGTGAATATCTATGATGGAAAATCACTGACAGAAGCAGAAAAGACCGCAGACACTCGGACACTCACATCTCGAGTTTATGGTTAACCTGACTGGCTAGTTTGCTATCTGACGTGTCATAGCTGAGCTGTGGCCGTTCTCTGGTATTACTAGTTGTAAACTCATTATGATACAGTGATACAGTATATCACTCAAATAATAATCTGCTCAAATAAAAGTTAACTTCATTTTCCCGGTGAATGTTTGTGCTGAATGGCTCCGTCGTCTCTGAGTGTCCTCCGGAAACACCTCTGCTGCGTTGTGACTGGCTTATCAGCGTTTCTGAGTTTGCAGTGTGTCTATAAATTTGTAGTGTGTTTGTAAAAAGCAGAACACGTTGTCATTTTGATGAGAGTGTTTTCTGAGTTTGCAGTTTGTTTTTTATTTGCAGTTTGTTGGATCTTCTCTGCCACCGTATGTAAACCTTTAGCTGTGCTGCAGAACCGTCGAGTTGTACCTTTAATTTGTTTGTTGTGGTGAGCTGTGAAGCCTTTAGCTTGCTTACTAGTAATGAAGCAGAGTTAGTAGTGGAGTAGTTTACTACCTAAATCACTTTCTGAACAAATCAAATCGAATCTTATAGATTTGAAATATCAAAGCTGCCTTATGTAGGATTTAGGGATTTGGAGACCTCTCTGGTGGAAATGTGTAACTGCACTAACAGTGTGTGGAAGAACATTGTGTAGCGTTGATTGTCCTTCCCTGAGAGGATGAATCTGATGACTGAAAGAAAATTCAAAGGGAACTTGGTGGAGGACACATCTTTAGAGGATGTGAGTGAATTATCTACTGTTGTTGTCATATCAGAACAGTGCCCTCCACAAATATTGGCACCCCTAGTAAACATGAACAAAACAGGCTCTTTATTGTTTATCCTTTTGATCTTTTATTCAAAATAAAAAAAAATCTAACCTTTTATTTAAAACAAAATGCTAGAAAGAAAAAAACTATAGTTTTTTCCAATCTGTGTGTGCCACAATTGTTGGCACCCTTTCATGTAATCTTTTGTGTAGCCTCCCTTTGCAACGATAACTCTGAGTCTTCTCCTATAACACTTAATAAGACTGGAGAACACATGGCAAAGGATCTGAGACCGTTCCTCCATATAGAACCTCTCCAGATCCTTCAGACTCCCAAGTCTACTCTTCTAGACTCTCCTCTTCAGCTCATCCCAAAGGTTTTCTATGGGGGTTTAGGTCAGGGGGCTGGGATGGCCATGGCAAAACCTTAATTCTGTGGTCAATGAACCACTGGATCATTGTCCTGCTGGAAGTTTAAGCTTCTAGTTTAAGGTTCCTGGCTGAGGCAGTCAGGTTTTGATTTTATTTCTGCTGATACTTGACGTGATACCATGTATCTGAACAAGTTGTCCAGCTCCTTTGGAAGAAGAACAGCCCCACATCATCACAGATCCACCACCATACGTCACAGTGGGGATGAGGCACTTTTCTGCATGTCTACGCCTAAACCAACCTCGGGGTTTTACATTTGAGACCTAAACTTCAAGCCGGACCTTCTTTTTGAGGCTGTGTTCATGACATTAATATGTAAAGATGGATGAAAAACAACTTTAAACAATTTTTTTGATTCATATATGATACCCACACTCTTCAAAAATATGGTTCTTCAAGGGTTCGTTAAGAAAATGGTTCTATGTAAGACCGTAAACAATCAAAGAACCTTTTGCGTGATTTAAACAGTTCTTTGCATGGTGAAATGATTCTTCAGATTGATGGAGAATGTGCTGTAGATGGTGGTTCTGTATATGGAATCTTTTTGAAAATGGTTCTGTATAGCACCAAAAAGGGTTCTTCTACTGCTACGATGTCAAGCTTGTAACAAAAGAAAAGCCCTTTTTGGTGCTGTATAGAACCAAGGTTTTATACAGAACCATCCACAGCACATTCTCCATCAATCTGAAGAATCATTTCACGATGCAAAAAACTCTTTAATTAGGCAATTATGCGAATGGTTCTTTGAGTGTTCGTGGTTCTGCATAGAACCATTTTCTTTACTAAAGAACCCTTGAAGTACTACATTTTTAAAGTGTATGCATGGAAATTAAAGTACCACAGTTTTGTGTTTTTGCCTTGTCGCCCACCTGAATCAGACTCTGGCTGTGCCGTAGTCATCGTTCTCCTGTTTTATCTTTAATCAGTAGTAGAGAATGTGTTCGGGGGGTCAGTTCGGGGGCAGATACGGAGGGCACAAGTTCAGGGTCCGTCAGAGTGAAAGTAGAGAGTGAAATAAGGTGACTCAGGTAAGAGGAGATATGGCAGGTGATTTATTATTAACCTTTTAGGGCAGCTACTTCTGCAGTGTCATCTACTGTTCTCCTTTAACGGCGTGATTACTCAATGCTGTCGTCACAAATATTCTGATATAAAGAACATGATCTAACAGAACCAAATATGTATGGATGATTCTGCTCAACTGTACAAAGTCAGAGCTGAAACACGTTTGGGACTTTCAACTGATCTTAGACTTTAGACTGAAATCCTTTTGCTTTGAGTGACTCTAAACCTTGAGTATGTTTTTTATTTTTCATTTTATGAAAACTGATGATTGAACATTCCATTTTGTCACTACTAGAACAATCATAACACTACCAAAGCTCAAACAAACAAACAAACAAACAGACATGTTCATAAAGGTTTAATAAACAAAAAATACTCACCACCATTTAGAAGTTAGAACTTTTGTTGTTTTGGTAAGACGCATGAAATCTCACTAAATGCACATTATATGTTTCCTTCAACCCTTCAGAGTAAATCACATTATTTATTGTCATATGTAAACATATAATCATGAAAGCTAACAACTGTGGGAAATAAGTGCACTTAGTTTATTGTGATTGTGCAGTGCATCCAACAATAAAGGCAGCATGGAGTTTCTTTTACACAGTGATAGGAAACATAGGCCTCTTTCCCACTGTCGAGCCAGATGGTTCTCAGGGCCGTACTGGGCCGTTCTGTGCTGTTCTGGACTTGAGAACCAGAGAATACTGAAGAAAACTACGCAAACAAGTGTCTAACATCTAACAGGCTAATCACTACACATAACACCACCCACCACAAAACACATTTGAAGACACGTCTGTCACTGCAACTGTCAGTGAGTTCGCTAGAACCGAGTCTGTACCGCGGTGGGAAGCACCGTTCACTCGCGTTAGCTTAGCCTAGCAGGCAATAGCTTGAAGCACTGCAGAACAGGTCCGATTTCTGTCACTCCACCATCAATCCGTCGACTTTGCTCTCACTGTTGTAAGTTTTTATCATCTAAACTTGTGATAGCAGAGAAGGAGTTAGTCAAAATGAACCTGCACTGGGGTGTTTGGATCTCTTTAGTCAAGCTAAGTTAGCTAGGAGAGAGGAGCCGGCTAGCATTAGCTTAGCTAGGAGGCTCCAGCTCCAGACACAAGAGAAGAGCTTTAATTTCGGCTTTCTGTTCCTCCAACATCAACCACTCGACTTCGCTTCCTCAGAGCTGAGTCACTATCACCTAAACTGGTGTCAGTAAAGCTTTTGTTAGTCAGAATCGAACCTGTTCTGTGGTGAGCAGAACTGTCAGTATGCTAGCTAAGCGAATGCTAACCGGCTACTCTCTCCTGGTTAGCAGCACCGTTTAACAATGAGAAATTATCGTTAGATTGATGCTTTGATGTTTATTGAATGGTGGATGTAAAATCGTGCACTGCTTTCGTTTATTTGGCGTCTGTGTGAGTGAACTGAACTTATTTGATTGAAATAAAGCAGCAGGATGTCGTGGCACAATGTCGACATAAATGCACAACCAATCAGCGAATAGCTATGTTGTTATATCATTCCACCGGACGGTTCTGTGGCCCTGAGTACGGTTAGCTAACTGTGCCAAAAGACTTTGCTGAGCCTGTTTTAAGCATTCCGTGTCGAACCGTGTCCGTGTGGAAAAGCCACTGGAATGGTTGCCCTCTGCACTCCGAGCTGTTCAGCCCTGCAGTGGAAAAGAGGCCATAGTAGCTCACAGAAAGCTCCAGTTCCACATGCTGATCCATTTTACTGATGAACACTCACCAACGACCCTGGAGGACAGATTTTAATATTTAATCGTTTAAGTGGACAAACACAGTGTCTGAGCGTGTCACTGGCGAGACGCTCAGTTTGACTGGGTTAATGAGCACAGGAGATTCGGACTGTAGTGAGGAAATGCAGTAATAGTGGAACGATTGTGGTGTTTGTAGATGAGCATGTGTGAAAAAGGGGTTATAGTAATCTAACAATGATTTGTTGACATTTTGAAATGGCCTAAACCTGACCTCCCTGTTCTTTGAAGCGATAGTTCAGCAAAAATGATCAAATTTGCCCTTTACAACAAATGTAGTCAATCAGCCACGACATGTTTGGTGTCAGAAGTTTGCTCCTCTATTTTTAGCACTGGAACTATGAAGCTAATGTAGCTAACAAGCAATGAAAACCTATACCTCACCAATCAGCATGCTGCTAACTGGATGGCTGAATCATCACTAACTCGCCCCAGACTGTGTGGAGTTGTTTGGTATCTCTAATAGACCTGATTATGTGGTTTCTGACACTGTATGACTCACTGTTACCTATAAACATGGACTAAAGTACTGAATCATTATACAAAATACATATAAAGCTGTTTATAAGCCAGAATAACAAAATGCTTTTAAGCACCTTACGTTTCAAAGTGGTAATGTCTGGTTTTATATGTTCAGTTTGGGACTGATGTAGCAAACCTGTTATGACCCCATGTTGTCTAGGGTGCTGTGGGATCAGTAAAGTGTGGCATTAAAGTACTGAACTGGTGATGATGGATTAAAAGCCTGAGGAACCGACTAATAGAGCTTTTGAAGCCATTTTATTAAAACCAACCACAATGAAACTGGTGTGCTATGATACCTAGAACCACACTGGAGGAGTCAAACTGTGGACGGGACCAAAGAAAAGAACATAACAAAACCCAACCACGCTTCAATACTCTGAAACAAAAAGTACTACTAACTACTCGACACTTCACTGGTCAGTAACCAAAAGTACATGTGGCGGAGCTGACCCTCTGACCTAGGGAACTAAACAGAGTAGACTTCTACGTGGTGCGAATGTATACGTTCACTTTACCAGGTTGAAGTGGCACAAATCCGATTTTTTGCCCTAATGTGACTCAGATCTGATGTTTTCAGAGCTGTGTGGACACAAATCTGATCTTTTCAAATCTGACCTGAGCCACTTTCATATGTGGTCCTAGATCGGATACGTATCCGATTCATAGCGACCTTAATGTGATGCTCAGATCAGAATTCATGTGCTTTTTTTCCACTGCGCGTGACCATCATTCAGCGTTACCATGGCAACAGCACCGAACAGAAGGTAAAGCCTGTAAACGGTGGAAAAGCAGCTCATCTCACCTTTTTCTCCTTCGTCTCGCTCTAATAATGAAGCTGAGAGCCGATCAGAGTTAATGATCTTCTCAGCGAAGCTCGTTCTGCTCGTTAGTTTGTGCTGATGAAGAACGTGATTCATTCACGTGACGTTACTGAGTAGGATGTGTTCATGCCAGGCAATAGAGTTAAATTAGATTTTTCATTGATCCTTTATTTGATAAGATGAAAAGTACTAAATGCTCTGAGTTGTAAAGTTGAAATGTTTGCTCTCCTGCAGGGTGGGCTCTCAGCCGCTCCGGCGCGCGCCGTCTCGGCGGTCAAGAACATGAATCTTCCGGAAATCCCCCGCAACATCAACATCGGAGACATCAACATTAAAGTACCCAGCCTGTCTCCATTCTGAGTCAGCTTAGCTGAATACTGATACTAACTGACCTATCCAGGCTCCGCCCACAGACACAGTCCGTCTTAGCTACTGGTGGGAGGTTGGACAAGCTTTACAGAACGCAGGTAAAAATCCCATTAAACCTAATGAGAACCACAATATAACAATACCTACATTTAGAGTCAGTTATTCATTCAGCCTAATGAGAAACTGTAGAACAGACTCAGTTTATATCACAATACCTACATTTAGAGTCAGTTATTGATTCAGCCTAATGAGAAACTGTAGAACAGACTCAGTTTATACCACAATACCTACATTTAGAGTCAGTTATTCATTCAGCCTAATGAGAAACTGTAGAACAGACTCAGTTTATATCACAATACCTACATTTAGAGTCGGTTATTCATTCAGCCTAATGAGAAACTGTAGAACAGACTCGGTTTATATCACAATACCTACATTTAGAGTCAGTTATTCATTCAACCTAATGAGAAACTGTAGAACAGACTCGGTTTATATCACAATACCTACATTTAGAGTCAGTTATTCATTCAGCCTAATGAGAAACTGTAGAACAGACTCAGTTTATATCACAATACCTACATTTAGAGTCAGTTATTCATTCAACCTAATGAGAAACTGTAGAACAGACTCGGTTTATATCACAATACCTACATTTAGAGTCAGTTATTCATTCAGCCTAATGAGAAACTGTAGAACAGACTCAGTTTATATCACAATACCTACATTTAGAGTGAGTTCTACAGTTCCTCATTATGTTGAATGGGATTTTTATCAGAGTATAGGTTGTAAAGTTTGTCCAGTCAGCACTAATTGCTGTGGAAGAATGTGTTTGTGGGTGGAGCTTGGACAGATAAATTGCCATAGATACTTTACCCTCTTCATGACCATCTTGGACTGACCGCTGACAATAACCTACTGACTGTTACACTGGAGTACAACACCGTCCAAAGCACACTACCACCACAGTAAAGACGTGTAATACGTGTCGTTCATTTCAACTGGTCGTTCATTAGAAAGTCTTGCCATTAACTTTGTTTTGTAATTTGTTTTGTAGATTGTTTTGTGGATTATTTGTAGATTATTCCGTGTAGCAACATTCCAATACAAAGAATCATGTTATAAAGATGAATGTCTGCGTCTATTCTGACCACTAAACCCTCCAGCAGTGATGTGTGTTATTTATACTGTATGCTGTATGTTGTCTCATTAAAATGTTTTGTTTTTGTTCAAACTGTTGTCCACTGAGTTTTTTACTTTGTTTATGAATTCTGTTAAACCTGGCAAAACCAGATCTAATGACCGGTTAAAACTTACTGCATGGTTTAGAGAGGTTTGGTGTGAAATGGTTCAGATGTCTTTACAGTGGTGGTGATAGGAACCAGGGGTCGCCATGACTACAACACAAATATAGACATTTTATTTACTATCCAAAACAACCAGTGAACCTACACGAGTCTTCTGAGTTTATATGGAATGTTGATGATGGAAAATAGCGGAAAATCTGAAATAATAAGTTTTCTTTGGGGACTATTTTGCCTCACAGCGCCCTGCATGTATCCCTCCACCATGAAAGGAGTTTAAGTTCTCTAAACTATCATAAATCAGTGTCTCAGTCATCAGGCAGTGAATTCATAACCATTTCATGTAGGAACTTTCTGTGAGGGAGCTTTTAGAGGTGGACGTCTGGTTCCTATCACCACCACTGTGAACAGTTCTGACTCGGTAAGTTTATCTAGAACAGAGCGTTTCACACCAAACCGCTCTGAATGACTCTGTTTACATCTTAACCATTTAATTATGTAGAAATTTTGCAAATTTGGTTGAATTTCTCTTTAAATTTTCAGACAACTAATTTATACTGCTGAGTCAGGAACAGTATAACAGGACAGACATTTTGGATAAAATATAAAATATATCAACTGAATTGCGGTCAGTTTCCCTACCTTTGGGCAGTAATTGTGTGTTGTAGTGCAGTTCAAGTAAAGTGTTGCCTTTATTTATTTAGATATTTAAATCAAATAAATGAAGTGCATCAGACTAAAGTTTTTACACTCTAATCATCACCAGTTTTTGTTAATCTGTTGGCTGGAAGTAAATATTTGTAAAAAGGTGTTTAATATATAATGTTATTAAGTATTAACACATTTAGGGGATTAGTATACTGAATGAAAAGGTATATGAGCTGCTATATCTCCAGCTCTGTCCCATCTTATGTGCAGTAAAACTATTTTTACTGATGCACCCGTGACTTCACCTGTTTATGACTACAATTAAAATTTGCTTAATTTTATACGAAGGTGTAAAGTTCGCATTTCCACTGCTGACTGCCAAACTGCCTTTTAATGACAGCTGCCTCTGATCATCTCTGTGTTTTACGAGCTGGCCGACGTCTGTAGTTCAGCTCAGTTTAGCTTCGGTCAGATTTTAGCTGAAGGACATTGGAATAATCTGTGCATGTGATTATATTTAAGGATATAATGTTTAATGCAGTTGTCAAGGTGTGCAACTATTAAAATAAGCAATAAGCCACTGGAAGCCATGCGATACTGAGATTTTATCACAGTACAGTGTGTTCTGGCACGACACGCAGCCAGTAAAACCCCTTTTTCCCCATGTTAAAATCACTGTAATGCACGGCCTTGGGTGGCTTATTGCTTTTATAAAACGGTGGACAAACATAAGATATGATAAAATACACAATTTTTCAGTAAACAATTTAAGTCATTGTTAATAATAATTGACATAAACAAGTATTCCACCAATAAATTTAGCTCCTTTAGAGTTTGTTATTGTTGCTAAGCAACCAGGGACACCTGAATGAGAAGAACGTTGCCCATCAGTGCATACTGCAGTCATTTCATGAACTTTTTAACGTTTTGTTGTATAATAATAAACATATCATAACATATCATAAGCTTTCTCTTTATAAGTACTTTTCGGTCACCAAATTACCACCGCGAGTCTTATTTAGCACCAAGCTAACGGCACTGAATCTCAAACAGCTCCCTGCTCCCTACATAGTGCACTATGTAGGAGTTTAAAAACTGGCTCCTGCACCGCAACGGTGCTTAATATAGCTAAAAAGTAGTCATTTGGGATTCAGCCACATCTATACTTGCCAAATAGTCACTGTTTTGCTGTAGAAGCCCAAATTTCAAAACTTCCCTAGCACACTATTTAGGGAGCACAAAGCCGTTTGGGATTCATTCGGGGTTTAAGCAAATTCTGACTGGAATACAGACATTTGAAGCATGTAAGACATTCAGGTGACATCTTTTAGACTTTTATACTGCAGTTTTACAGTTAATCAAGTTTAATTTAAGCCTGTAACATTGGTGGTGGAGTTTTTTTAGCATGTTTACTGTCTTTTAGCCTGTTAGCCAGCTGACCAGCCCAGTTCTAGTTAAGAAAATAAGTTGTCAGCCTCTCAGTTTAAACAGAACCGGGTTCTTACTTCATCGGTACACTCGGTGCTCCATGCGAGCGGCAGCTGACAAACCACTGAAACTGAGATGAGGCTGTTTTTGCTTCAAGCTCGAACACTTGAGTGAGCTGCACATGCTCTACTCATCATTGTTACTGTCGTTGTTTTAGTGGAAGCAGCGTTACCTGCAACGAGTGCTTACAGCAGAAAAAATGCGGAAATGTGTTTGCTAACTGGTTGATTTTTGTGACATCACAAAAACAGCTTATGGACTGTGTGGACTCGGGAGTGAATGGTACACTTTAAAAGTAACATTGTTTACATGCAACATCAAACTCGTAAACTCGTATTTCAAAAAAGTGAGGAGAATTAATTTTCCATGATATGGCCCTTTAAAATCATTTCAGCGGTAGTGATCAGATTACTGGGTCCAAAAGATGCAGAGTGAGCTGATGGACGCTGAGAGAACGGACAGCAATCACACTTTATCTGACCATCTCTGAGATCTTATAACAGTATCTTCAGAGATACGAGCCTATCAAAGGTCGGCGGTATCTGATCACATGTGCGCAGTCACACTGTCGGGCCCTCATAAAAGTGTTCATAAAGGCTTCGTTATCAGTCACCGCTGCACTTTTTCTACTTGCTTTTGAAAGGAGGACAATGAAAGCGATCCTTTGTTAGCGGTGAAGTCGTGCTATAAGAGTGCACCCCCCCCTCAAAAAAGAAGAAATTAAACATTAATGTTGGATGTTTTTTGGCTACTGTAGCTATAATTCCATATGTGTTATTATGTAGTTCTGATGTATTTAAGGTTATTGTAAAATGTGGATCATGATAAAAAATAAGGAAAACCATTTTATGATTAACACAATCGCTGCTTCTACTACAAATGATAAAAGATTTATTTATATAGACTCTTTATATACATAAAATGCATCTTTAAATGATTCACAATAAATATAAATGAAAGTGCAAATTAGTGTAAGCAAAATACTGAATAACATGGAACCTGTCTGTTTAATTAAAATGAAAAAAGGTAAAAGAAAAAGCATTGAAATAGAAACAGAAAGAAAACTGAAAACTGGAGATTAAAACAATAAAATTGATACAATATCATTTGAAATAAACATAAAAAGAATAATAAAAAGAAAATAAAAGCTAACTAATAAAAATGAGTAGGTGTAGCCTACACACTTAAAAAGATGGTTCTTCAAGGGTTCTTTAGTAAACGCAAAGTTGAGTTCTATATAAAACCATTTTGTACTCTGCAGAGATGGTTCTTCAGACTGACTGAGAATGTGTTGTACACAGCTCTACATAGAACCTTTTAGAAAATCGTATATAGAACCAAAAAGATTATTCTCTTGTTACAAGCTTTGTAACAGAACCCTTTTTGGTGCTAAATAGAACCATATACTACAACACATTCTCTGCTAATCTGAAGAACCATTTCTCTATGACCATTTAAGTATGAAATGGTTCTATATAAACTCATGGTTCTAAAAAGAACCATTGCCTTTACTAAAGAACTCCTGAAAAACCATCTTTTTTAAGCGGGCAGCATCGCTGCTAATCTCAACATATTAGCCATGCTTATGGTTTCTTCATGACTTTTGTTCTCTTTATTTCATTCATGTCGATGTAACCCTGTTACTTATTACTTATTACAGCTCTCAGAATAGTCTGGTTAAAAAATGACCCGAGAAAGAGCCGCCACCAAAAAAACAAGTGTCACAGTGATCACTGTAGTTAATACTCTGCTACCTCTGCTAACTTAGTTTACTGACAATTCGCTTTAATATAACTAAAATATTAAAAAA